TGAGCTGTCCAGAAGCACGTGTGAAACTGGCTGTCCAGTTGCTGTCTTTCCACATGCGTCAAATCCCTCTTATTCGCCAAGACCCTTGCGTTGTCACGCAATCAACCAGTGAGGAAAGCCTGACTTGATTTCCACTTCATTTTCCACGTCGAGGCTGCATACGTGGGGCCAGAAATATGAAAATCACTGGTTTCAAGGAGATAAGCTGCCACCGGCTCGTGTGAAGATATTTGTTCCACCAAGAAGGGTGACGGAATTCTGATCTACTATCCAGCAAAGCAGGGTCAACGGCGTCACTTGCTGTGCGAGGCAGGGTCTCCCAACGCGTCGCGGCAACGAAGCAGGTCTGGTGGCGTCTGTCTGATCCGTGCCTCGTTTCAACGAGGTCCCGTGAAGCCGACGGTCTGGGCTGTTGCTAAACAGTTGCACTTGGGATTTCACCTGTCTGCTTCATCTCACACTGCGCCCAAACCAGAGGAGTGAAGGTTTGGTTCCGACGAGTTGGCTCGGTTGTGTTCGCTGCCCGGCCGAGGCTCCGATCTGCCCCCAAAGAGCTCACACACACCCAACCAGGGGAGCGCAGCGCACCACCACCATTTCCGCTGCTTCTCTGACTCACCATCATATTACCACTCACATCAGTGCGGCTGTCAGTCACTTTCTGTCTGATTCGCAGATGGTTATTTATTCCAGCTCGTCTTGAGAAATCTTTCGCCATCACCATTGACTCTTGTTTCCTCACCTTCGCAGCTGGTCATTCCTTCATCTGCGTCCCTTTCGGTCTGTCTAACCTCCCGTTGGTTGTCAAATCGTGCACGACCGTCGCGATGGCTGCAATACTAGAGGCGTCGCTTGCCGCAACAACCCTGTCCGCCATCGCCCGCCCGCCACTCTCCACCAGCTTCATCCACACGGAACGCACGGCGTCGCTGCTGTCCCTCACCACCGCGCTCCGAGCTAGCCGATTCAGCAAACGAACCCATGGCATCGCCGTGCGTCCCGCTGCTTCCTCCTCTTCCTCCTCTTCCTCCTCCTCCTCGTCGTCTAACCCTCAAAAGGCCTACTCATACGCATACTCCGAAGCCCCAACGGCCTCCTCTTCCCTGGGCTCAACGCTGTACGAGGAATCCACATCGGATTTGTCGGACGAAGACTCGTCGGAGGAGGGCTCGCGCAAGGACTTGATGCACGAGGCGGTGCGGCGCCTCGCGGACACGGACGTGGCGGAAGCCGCCTCGAAGTACGGGCTGGAGGACGAACTGTTCGGGGAGATCGACTTCGCAAGGGTGAGTTGCCGGGTTGTCGGGTTACCGGGTTGATACCCTGAGATGCATGCACATGCCTTATCTTTCTCTTCGTTTCTTCTTTTTTGAAACACGAGTTCCTGGAAGGGCCGTGCACCGAAAGGCGGTAAGTAGAACGACGATAACGTGAGCAGACGGAGATGCCGGAGAAGACGGAGAACACAACGAATATCATCAACCCTTGCGGAGCGTGTTTTGCGATCGTCTCATTGCGTGTCTGCCTCCTTAAGGAGCGCGATTTCTTTCTGTTCCAATCATCTCACCCTTGTGCACTCCTCTTCCTGCTCTCCCCCCCAACAGATTAGCTCCTTCACCAAGGATCCGTTCGGCGGCAACCCCGCGGCGGTGTGCTACCTGCCGTACCACCCGTCTGACGAGTGGCTTCAGAAGGTCGCGGCGGAGTTCAACCTCTCCGAAACCGCGTTTCTCGTGCGCCGCCGCGCCAGCTCCCCGCCGCCCCCGCCCGGGCTGGACGACGAGTGGCCCGAGCCCGCGCGGCAGCGGCAATCGCTCGTAGCGGCGGACGAGCTGGGCACGCTGCGGTCCGTTAAGGTGGCGCCGAGCGCGCCGGTGAACGAGTTCGACTTGCGCTGGTTCACCCCCACGGTCGAGGTGAGTCGCGGGGCGAACGCGACGCTATGGGGAAGAGGCGGGGGAAGGCAAGGGAAGGGAAGGGAAGGGAAGGGAAAGGATGAAAGGAAATGTTCCACACGTTACGCGGTCAGCATGTGCGCCGCACGTCGCGCGTAGTGCCATGTGCGATCCAACGCTCACCTCCCTTCCTGCGCCCCTCCTTTCTGCGCCCATTCCTTTCCACGACGCAGGTTCGTCTGTGCGGGCACGCGACGCTAGCGGCGGCGCATCTGCTCTTCTCGTCGGGCCTCGTCGACTCGGACGAGGTCGTCTTCCACACGCGCTCCGGCCGCCTCGCCGCGCGCCTCGTCCCCGAGCACGAAGCGCATCTCGGCGGACGGGAGCGGAAGCCGCACTCGAACCGGCGCCACAAGCGGCGCGAGTGGGAGGAGGAGGAGGAGGAGGGCGAGACGATCGGAGTGGGCGGGCGGCGGCGGCCGAGCGGAAAGGCGATCGTGGAGCTGGACATGCCGCTGGCAGCGGCGGCGGCGCTTCCGCTGGACGAGTGGGCGGCGGTGGAGGAGGCGATCGGCGTGCCAGCGGGGACCGCGCTGTTCGTGGGGCGCAGCAAGCTGCATGATATCATGGTGAGTCGCTCGGCGCGCAGCGGGGAGGGACTGCGGGGAGGGCGCTGGATTGAAGCTGTGGTTTTGTTTGCACTTCGATACGATGACAATGAATAGCATAACATTATGTACGTATTTGTTTTTATGTAGCTGCGATCTCGAGCCGGCTCCGTGCTCCTTCCGCATTCCCTCTCTGCCTGCACCGTGCCTGCCCCTTACCCTCGTTCTGACTCATCAGCTATTAACCTCCCCTTCCCACCCACCCTCGCTTCCCGCCCTTCCACGTGGCTGCAACCCATCCAGGTGCACGTGCCGCAGACGACAACGGTACTGGAGCTGGATCCGCCTCTCAAGAAGATCGCCCTGCTGCCGTGCCGCGGCGTGATAGTGACGGCGGCCGCCAGCCACGTGGACGCGGACATCAAGGCGGCGGGCGGCAGGGCGGCGGCGCTGGACCCCAACATCGACTTCGTCTCGCGCTTCTTCGCACCGCAGTCCGGCATTGACGAGGTGCGCGCCCCGCCAGGGCGGAACGTGGGGGTAAGGCGTGAGGGCGGGGCGCTGGGAGGGGCGTGAAGGTGGGAACCGGGGAGCGGTGGGGAAGGGGGGTTGGGGGTGTGAGGGGCTTAGGCTGTGAGGGTTAGGGGGTGCCTATCAGTTCCTTGACTCGCTGCTTTCTGCAAGCCGCTCTTTGATAGCTGCTCTCTCACACGAGCACCCACGTCACAATCGACTGACCCGCCATGTTATCCCCCGTCCCCGGTTCCCCCTTGCCCTGGCCCATCAGGACCCGGTGACAGGCAGCTCATTCTGCACGCTCGGCCCGTACTGGTCGGAGGTGCTCGGGCACAAGCAGCTGCTGGGCTACCAGGTGCGCGCCACAGGGCTTGCCCGCTCGTGCGGTTGTGCTGTGTCCTCCCCGCGTGTGCTTGCTTTTGGATCGCTCTTCCTTTTTTTCCTCTCAAGGTATGGTAATACTTGAGCTTGCCTGTTTCGTTTTGTCCCTCCTCGCCGCATCCATTGATGGATCTCCCCTCTTCCTCTTCCTCTTTCTTCCTCTTCCGCGTGGCAGGCGTCTACCAGGGGAGGCATGGTGGCAGTGAGGGTGGACGAGGCGCACGGCAGGGCGTTCCTGCAGGGGTGGGCGGTGCTGGTGATGGCGGGTGTGGTCATGAACACCGCCTCCCCCGCCATCACGCACCCCGCCACCTCGTAAATCCCGCAGGCGCCGTCAGCGCTTGGGCACTGCCACGTCAGCGGGCTCGCTGGCGACCTTGGCTGCATGCTTTGCAGTGCCCTGCCTTTCAGGAATACCGTATACTGTCTCTTTGCAGGCCTGAGTAAGTAGGTCTGTTTTTAATTACATAGTTGGTACATGTGTGATTATTGGGTCGGGTTGGGTGGGTGGGAAGGGTAGGTTGGTGACCAGAATATACGGGCAGTTGATGTGTGAGGCCTGTCAGGTCAAACTACTGCTGTGCTAGGTCCATTACTGGGCTCTGCCTTGTTACATGCATCACTGGGAGTGCGTTGTGTGATTTAACTAGTGATACCGTATTGGTTTTCCTTCACTTGGGTGTTTGCCAGCGTACAGCAGAGAAACTTCCACCAAGAATGCTGGTGGGTTATGGTATCACAATCGCCTCACAAATGGTCAGTCAAGTTTTTCAGGGGTCCAGTCCTGGGGTTCTGGTCACAACGTACGTCAATTTCTAGGAGGCTTGTCATTAGAACGCAAGTGTGACGAGATCATACGGTAACTCTCAGTGGTTTGATGAAGTACTGTATTCAGAATTACCGTAAACCCCCGTATATAGGAACCCCTCCAGTTGTGGACCCCCGGGTCTCTAATACGGGGGGGGGGGTACTCTATTTGATCCGTTTTAGTTATACCCCCCTTTTCTAGTGCAATCATTATAAGACCCCCCTATCCCTAGGAAGAATGTAGCATTTGCATTTTTTATTAATTGAAATCGAAGCGATTTCAGAGAGAGAACAAGTTTTCTCCTCTTCCGATGACTGCGCGTGGGTATCGCGCAGTCAACGTGGTCAAATGTTGTATTTTTCGCCACTGCCAATGTGGTGATAACTAATCTGTCCAGTGGCGAGAGTGATGCCACCTGGCAAAAACCTGAGGGTGGTGACATTCGCGCCTTCACGCACATTCGCTGCCAAGCTGTGAAGTACAACTGACGCAAAAATACACAACACACATGAATTCATTTTATAGATTTTCAAAACAAATACCATGTATTAAGACCCGGGTCTTATAAAATATATACCACTTAATTATACCCCCCAACTTTTTTAGGCCAGATTATCATAATACCCTAGGGTCTTATATACGGGGGTTTACGGTAAATGAACTTAGTACCGAAGAAGAGTGCCAGGGAAAATGTAGAAACCAAACAGTAGGGCGTCAGACTTCCTTAGCAATCAACAAACACCAGTGACACAAACAGCACATGCTCTATGGCGAACACGTACACGAGTGCGGCTATTCCTCCTCATCGTCCCCAAACGTGAAGAGTGAGGCATCGGCAGCACTGGCAGCAGCAAGGGCAAAGTCGGAGGAAGGGCCAAAGAGGAACTCCTCGCCCTTGGGCATCTCTGTCACTGGAGGAGAAGCTTCAAACGACGGCAGCGCATCGATCGAGTCATTCCCCACCATACGCATCGCTCCCACTGCTGCTCCTGCTGCTGCTGCTGCTGCTGCTGTTGCTGGTGGTGCCGGCCCCTTGGTGTCAGGTGTTGCTGCTGGTGGTACGGAGGAGGCTGATAGCGGGGACGGGGAGGAGGATGTGGCAAGGGTGCTTCTCGGAGGGGTGGACGTGGGATTGGATGGGTCGGTTGATGATGGTGCCAGAGGGGGTTTTGCTGCTGACGGTGATGGTGATAAGGAATGCTCCTCTAGGTAGCCTGACAGGGAGGGAAGCGCAAGGAAGGAAAGGGCGAGCAAGGGAAAGGCGAGAGGCAGCTTGTGTCCAAGTAAGTATGGAAATGAAGGAAAACAGGAAGCGGAAATGGAAAAAAGGGAAGACGGATTGCGAAATGGAGGTGCGATGGCTTACTGAACGCATCTTTGAAGGAGCTCCTGGGAGCAATGCTGCCTGGTGTTGCCGCTGAGAACGCTGGCACTTGCCGCCTCTTGCTGCTTCCCTGGCCCCCACCCTCCTCACCCTCCTCACCCTCCTCACCCTCCTCACCCTCCTCACCCTCCTCCTCCTGCTCTCCAGCACCAGCATCGCCATCATCGTTGTCGTTGTCATGGTCATTCATGAAGTCAAGTTTCATGCTGATTGACAAAGGCTCATCAGCACTGCTTTTGCTGCTGCTCTGCTCTGTGCCCACACCCCCCTGCCCTGCACTGCTCTGAACAACTCCTCCTCCACCGCCCCTTGCCTCGCCTGCCCCTGCCCCTATCCCTCGTCCTCTCGACTCCCCCCCATCATTACCAGAAGCAGCAGCAGCGGCAGCAGCAGCAGCAGCAGCGGCGGCGGCAGCAGCATGGCGGGCGTCTGCCTTTCTGCCGGCCTCAGAGAGCGCACCAGTGACCTCTTTCACGGACCAGCTCACAGCACTGGCCAGCATGCCCAGCGCCTCCACTGCCGCCACTGCCATCACCTCTGCCGCCTCCTCTGCCCCGCTCGCCGCCCCGCCACCACCTGCACTCACACCCCTCCCCACTCCCTTTCCCATTCCTGTTCCCGTCCGTGTATCTGTCCCCGTACCTGTTCCCGTTCCTGCTACCATTCCTGTTCCCGAGTTTGTTCCTGCAGCTGCCCTTCCAGTTGTTCCAACCCCTGGGCGGGCAACCATAGGACCAGTGGATCCAGTGTCAGCACCAGCTGGCGCAGTGCTATGGTCAGACACACCTCGCGCATCCCTGCACTTCACCTCCGTTCCATCTCCCTGCGAAGCTTCTCTGCTGCCTCCTCCACCTGCCTCTCTCTCTCCGCATGTGCCTCCCATGTTTCCACCAGCTGCTGTCCCGCCTCCTTCTTTGCTGCAGCAACTGCCAGCAGCAGCATCAAGGACCCCTGTAGCATCATCATCAGCAGCATCAGCAGCATCGCAACTACCATCCACACTCCTCGAACCATCACCAACCAACCCACCATGCTCCCTGCCTCCCTCAATTTGCCTTTCTCCTGCCACCTTCCCTCCCTTCCTCCCCCCTCCCTGCTTCTCTTCCAGATCACCCAAGTAACCACTCCCCGCACTGCTATCCCCTGCTATCCGCCCATCCGCCCTTCTGCTACCAGCACCGTCACCCTCTCCTGCCTCCGCTGCACCTCCCTCCTTCAACCCCCTCTGACCACCTTCTCCCAAAGCACCTTCCCCTGGAGCACCCTTCCTCCCATGGTCTAGGCTCGCACCCCCATCGGTGCTCTGGCTCTCTCTTCCCTGCTCCCCTTCTCCTTGCTCGCCGCTCTGCTCTGCGCCTGCTGCATGTTGCTCTGCCTGCTGCTGTGCACTCGGCTGTGCGCTCAGCTGTGCGCTCGGCTGTGCGCTCGGCTGTTCAGTCAGCTGTGCGCTCGGCTGTTCAGTCAGCTGTGCGCTCGGCTGTTCAGTCAGCTGTGCGCTCTGAGCTGCGCTCTGCGGTGTGCCTGCAGTGCTGTGTGCACGGGGCGGGGGCACGTCCGCCTCTGCCATGAGCAACAGCTCCACCACAAAACCCGGTGATGCCAGGCGCCTCTGATGCCCCACCAGCACATGGGGCACAGGGGGGCAGGGCAAGGAACAGAGCGGGGGCGAGGGTGGGGGGAGAGTGGGGGGCAGGAGTGCGGTCGGGAGAGGATTAGGGGGAGCGCGGTAAGGTGAGAAGGCATGTGGGGACAGACAGCGAGTTGGGAGAGGGAGGGGGGAACGAAGATACAGAACCAGGGAGAATGGAAGCAGCAATGCGGGACGACATGGGAAGAGCAGAAGGTAGGGGAGGGGGGCATGGTGAGGGAGTGGGGAGAGAAGGGTTTACAAGTGCAAGAACAGTGAGGGAGGAGCAGAGATTCCAAGTGGGGGCGAGAGGGACAGTTTTCCACTTGGAACGCAAGAACAGTGAAGTACTAGGAACAGCTGAAAATGATTGCGGGAGAAGGTAGCGAGTGGGGAGAAGTGGGTACGGTAGGAAATGGGGGGAAGGGGGGGTAAGACAGGGGGAAGGGGTTGGAGAGGCGGGTAAGGAGCGAGAGAGGGCAACAGACCTTGTCAAATCCGTCAAGGTCCGTGGTCTTGAGCATGTGGTGCGACTGTGTGAAGCTGGTGTGCAGCCAGCTGTGGTGCGCGATGGTGAGCGGTGATGGGAGGTGAAGAGAGGTGATCGGAGATGACAAACGGGGGCGAGGGTTGGGAGAAGAAGGAAGGATACAGGTCAGATGGGATGAGAGAGAGAGAGAGAGAGAGAGAGAGAGAGAGAGAGAGAGAGAGAGAGAGAGAGAGAGAGAGAGAGAGAGAGAGAGAGAAGCAAGGGACTTAGTCTCTTCCCTCCTAGGCTCATCCCCTCTCTTCCCCAGCTATATAAGGGCCCCTTGGCCTTCTCTCAAGCTCATTCTTCATTTGGTGTTTCTGTTTTTTCCGGTTCTCTTCGTTCAAGAGAGCGAGAGAGAGAGAAGCAAGGGACTTAGTCTCTTCCCTCCTAGGCTCATCCCCTCTCTTCCCCAGCTATATAAGGGCCCCTTGGCCTTCTCTCAAGCTCATTCTTCATTTGGTGTTTCTGATTTTTCCGGCGCTTCGCGCCGGCGCTCGCGGGCGCGGCCTGCGGCCGCGCGCTTGGGACGACAAGGACAAAAACAAGGACGGCTAGATGACGGCAAAAACAACAACCATGGCAGACAACGACAACTAGACAAGCTACCATGGAACGGGTCTACACACGCGCGAGGGGGCCGCCTACATGCGGTCCGCCCCAAGCTCACCAAGCATTTCGCGCGTGGTCAGCCACATCTGGCGGACCACTGACGCGGTGGCGCCGACAACGTCAACAGGAGTTCCACGAGTTGCTACAAGGGTCCTCAGACCCAGGGCCGTCTCAGCCAGCAGGGTGGCCGAGACTACTCCCGGCGAGGGCGCGACCTGCAGTGGCGATACGAACGAGAATAATGCTGACGCCGCCGCGTGACACCTTGCTCGCGGCATCTGAGAGAACGTGCTCGGCGGGGTCTCCAACATGGAGCCATGCGACTCCTGGAGAATCAGTTCAAGACTCTGCAGGCACTCCGCCAACGACCACAAGTGCGCCAGGGTCGCCGTGGGCACTGGCTTCATCTGCGGGGGGAATGCAGACGCGCGAGATCGGCGAGCCGACACTGCCAGATCACGAGGAGCAGGGAGGGGACGTGGCGGAGCGAACTGGGCCCACGGGTCCCCTAAACCCTATACGGGGTATGGGGCAGGGGACTGGCTCAACGCGGTCCCCTTTAACAAGTCGCTGCGCCTGGCTCCAGATCACTTCGCCCACGCACTGCAGTTCCGAATGGGGCTTCCCTCCTCTGCACCTGGGGCTTGTGACTGCCGCAACAACACGGCAATCACAGACCGACGGCTGCCCAACCACCTTCTGCGCTGTGACACAGGGAAGGGGAGGACCAACACCCATAATGAGCTGCGGGATGAGTGCCTCCGGATGGCCAACGACGCGGACTTCATGACTCATGGAGAGACAACTCATTCTGCCCCGTCACTAGGAAGAAGGCGGACATAGCAATCAGGGACAAGTCCTCGGGGGCGGTTTGGATTGGGGACGTGACAATCACGGACCCCATCAGCACCCGTGACCCCAACGCAGTCAAGGGCAGGGGGTGGGCAGCCCGTGAAGCGGCGGAGAAGAAGATCTCCGACTACGAAGGCTCAACGGCTTCGTGGGTCGGATTCTTCCCACTCGCCGTTGACACCTACGGCTGCCCTTGCGAGGAAGTGCCCCAATTCTTCAAGCTGTTAGCCGAGACCGCCACCCGCAGGCTCTTCAACGCGGCCCCCTCATCCTACCAGGCTACGAAGCTGCTGCACCAGTTCCGCCAGAGGTGGTCCGTGGCGCTGCAGCGTGCTCAGTCGGTGAGCTTTATGGAGAAATGCGACTACGCGGCACAGGTGGAGAACCCACCTGCGGAGATGCCAGGCGAGGGCATGTCCCTTGGGGACTGCCTGGCCATCTTAGAGCCGGTGCTGGAGCTCCCTTAGACGGAGCAGAGGGGGAGGGGGGTGAGTGGGATGTGTGGGTTAGAAGATGATTTGTATGAGTAGCATCTCTATCCTTTGCATGTCTGTATTTGCTTGGATCTAATACACGGACCGCTTGAGAGAGAGAGAGAGAGAGAGAGAGAGAGAGAGAGAGAGAGAGAGAGAGAGAGAGAGAGAGAGAGAGAGAGAGAGAGAGAGAGAGAGAGAGAGATGGACGGACAGAGCGAGACGGGAATGAGCAGCGATATTTGAAAGATTTCAAAACTCAAATGATTGCTGACAGTTCAGAGAGAGCAGAGAGAGCAAGCAGTGCAGAGAGTACAGAGAGCGCAGAGAGTGCAGAAGAAGAAGCGGACCATGAGAAGTCCCCATAGGAGTCGCGGAAGGTGATGCAGAAGTCGTCCTTGAGTGCACAGATGTAGCGCTCCCCCGGCAAGGAAAACAGCACCACTCCCTGCTTCTGTGACGCGTGCCATGCTTGGTCCGCCTGGACATGGGTGGACACATAGGCACATGCGAGCACAGGAGCAGCGGGAGAGCGTGGAGAAGAGATGTTGGTGCAGGCATGGGCAGAAGAGGGGAGGTGGAAGAGGAATCCTGTGGCAACCTCAAAACTACGAGTCACCTCAAAACTACGAGTCACCTCAAACCTACGAGTCACCTCAAACCTATGCATGCGCGTGCGCCTTGGTCCACGCGCGCGCGCGCCCCTTGGTCCGCGCGCGCGCCGTGGTCTGCGCGCCGCCTTGGCCCACGCGCGCGCGCGCGAGCCTTGGTCTGCGCGCGCCTTGGTCCATGCGCGCGCCTTGGTCCACGTGCGCGCCATGGTCCATGCGGGTGCCTTGGTCCACGCGCGCGCCTTGGTCAGCGCGCCCCTTGGTCCATGCGCGCGCCTTGGTCCATGCGCGCGCCTTGGTCCATGTGCGCGCCACGGTCCATGCGGGTGCCTTGGTCCACGCGCGCGCCTTGGTCAGCGCGTCCCTTGGTCCGCGCGCGCGCCCTGGTCTGCGCGCACCTCAAACTTACGAGTCACCTCAAACTTACTAGTCACCTCAACTTACTAGTTTGGTGCTGCTCTCCGCTTGCCACACGTCGCCCATCCGCCCAACCACGGTCATGCATCAACCCTCTCACCTGCTCCCTCCATCGCCTTTCCGTGGTAAGCCGTCAACCCTTTTGTTGAATCAGTTCATTTCTACACAATCGCACGCGTTTCGTTCATGATCCGTCCTTTTACCGTTGTTGAAGTTATTGTATATACCCCTTGGTGATGGGGCGATGATTGTGGAGCAGCTTAGGAGAATATTGTGTGATATGATATTCAGGACCCCGGACGAGGAAAGCATAGAGATGGGGCGAAGAGAAGGGAGGGGAGAGGGGAGAAGGGAAAGGGGCGGCGATGGTGGCTCACCGACAGATGGGACGTTCTGGGATGAGTGCGAGAGGAGAAGAGGACTCCTGCACATGCATGCGCAGTGGTGCATGGAGGGAAATGCATGGGCAATGGTGCGAGCAGACACACATCACAGGCCAGTGAGTTAGCCGGATGATTCACGATGCAAGAGGGGCGTGGTGAGATGTCAAGATGGTGGGTTGGCTGGGAGAAGCTGAGAGAGCAGCAGGTGGTGACACTGTTAGTAGGGGCAGTAGTGGAAGCAGTACCATAGTTGCGACACTACTAGTAGTGGCACTGGTGCGGTGTGTTGCAAACGGGGTTGTGATTGTGATGAGAGGCGAGGGTGTGAGGTGTGAGGTGCGAGGCGGGCAGGGAGCAAGGAGCACCTGAGGGGGAGGAGATGGTGATGAATGGTCGGATCCAGTAGGGGCAGCGGTGCAGGCGAATGCCCCTCAGCACCAGTGGGCTGCTCGCAGCACAGAGCAAGGGGCAAGAGGCAAAGGGATCACATGCATGGGAGATGATGTGGTCAAAGCTGTGCTGTCTGGGGGAAGGCAGATTGGTGGTGTGGGGGAGGCTTCAAGAAGAGGGAGGGGGAGGAGGAGGTGTACCGTTGGGGGGGCAGTGAGGGCACTGGGGAAGAGGTAGCACGCAGGATGGCTTCATAGTATGCCACATGGCGCTGCATGGTGTGCGGTTGGGGGGAGAGGGGGAGGGAAGGAAACCGGGAGGGAGGGAGGGAGGGAGGGAGGGATGGATGGAAGGGGCAACTGAGAGAAAGACATGAGAGGCAGGAGAGTGGGCGAGGGCATGGGGGTGAAGCATGGGGGCGAAGGCATGGGGGTGAAGCATGGGGGCGAAGGCATGGGGGTGAAGCATGGGGGCGAAGGCATGGGGGTGACGCATGGGGGCGAAGGCATGGGGGTGACGCATGGGGGCGAGGGCATGGACGGGGTGTGGAGGCACAAACTACAAAGGACGGAGGGAAGGGATAGAGAAAGGGGGGGACGAGAGGAGCGGAAGAGCGGGGAAGGACCTGTTGGGCGGGCGAGGTGAGCGCCTTGCCATCCACACTCCTCTTTTCTCGGAACAGCGCTATGGCCTCCTGTGCTGTGCTGCACACCTGATGCCGCCCGCCCCATGCATGGGGGACGCAGAGCAGGGGAGTGTGGGCGTGGGGGAAGTGTGGGAGCGGGGGGAGTGAGGGAGTTGGGGGAGTGAGGCATGGGATGTGTTGAGAGGGTGGGGGGGGGGAGGAAGGGGGTGGAGGGAGTCTGAATGGCGGGAAAGCAAGGGCGTGGGAGGCGTGGCTGAAAACTGTGCGTAGGCACGCCATGGCGTGGAGGGAGAAGTGCATAGAGGGAAACAATGCAGCTCAAACTCACACACAAACCCATGTTCCTGGCTTGCCCCATCCCTTTCCGCTCTGCACCTCTGCGGCTCTTTCCCCCAACCAGGAGCCCACCTTGAGAGCGAGCAGCAGGCATGCCACGACAAGGCCTGTGCGCCCCATGCCCGCCTTGCAGTGCACCACCACCACATTGCCACCCTCCCTGCCCATACTGCCATCGCTGCTTTTGCTGCTGCTGCCGGCGCTGCCTGCCTGCCCTGCTTGCGTGGCCTCCCCACCTGCAGCTGCCCCTGTGCTGCTCCCAGGCCCCCGTTTCCCACCTCCTGCGAGCCACCCCTTGGCGCTCTCACAGAGAGCGAGCGTGAGGGCGAGGGGCGGGCACGTGCCATCGTCAAAAGGGAAGCACGCCACCTGCGACATAGAGACAGGGCCAAGGAGAAGAGAACAGCTGAGTGCACGACCAGACAACGACTTGTTGGGTCTAACTACCAGCTGAATGCACGACCCAAACCAGCTCCCACCCCCCTCCCCTTTCCCTTCCCATCTCCCTCCCCCTTTTTTCCCTCTCCAGCCCCTCCCCATCCCCATCCCAACGCCCATCCCCAATCCCATCCGCGTCTAATCCCTGCCCTCCCCTCCCCTGCAATGCACGCACGGTGCCATGGAAGCGATCAGGGTCGTAGAGGCGTTCGGAGCAGAGGTTGTAGACCTTGTAGCGCCCGCTGTGGCGCGACTCCAAGAACCGCATCACATCGTCCATGTGGTTGCGGTACAGGCCCTGGGTAACATGCACATGCATGATCATGCACACACATGCACACACATGCACACACATGCACACACCATGCACACACCATGCACACACCATGCACACACCATGCACAGTTGTGTATACGAGTAAATGCGTGAGTGCACATACAGAAACGCGGCCCACAAGCACAAAGCATGCAGACTCAAGATACCCCACAAGTGCATGCTCTGACCATTGCCACACCCCCAGGCGCCATGGCAATCTCCTACACTGACCTCCACAAAGCCCAGCAGGCCGGAGCTGGGGTCGCCCGCAGGGAAGCCCATGGCAATGATGCTGTCCGTCACATACGTCAGATCCAGGTCGAAACCCCCCTCCTGCTCCACACCGCAACAATGCCATGTGCCACGTGTCAACGCGAGATGGACATGGCATAACATGGGCCATGTGGTGGAAGAAAACTGACACAGAAAGAACAGCAGCAGCAGCAGAGCAGGAACGGGCATGGAGGGCAGCGCACCTGGAAGCGGCGGTGGTTGTGGGCGACGAGGTGGCGGGCGTGTGTCTGCACGGCCTTGGCGGCCCTGCTCAGCTGGCTGCTCCAGAAGCTCATGCCCATCCCCACCGCCTGCTCTGCCCTCGCATTCTCGCCGTCACTGCCGCTGCCGCTGCCGCTGGCGCTGGCGCTGGCGCTGGCGCTGCTGGTGCTGCTGCTTCTGCTGATCATGGGGGTGCTGCTGATGCTGGAGAGATCGGTGCTTACGACGTTGCTCGAGCCTTCTAAACCACCATTGTCAGTTGAACCGTCACCACCAGCACCACCATCATCAGCACCAGCAGCAGCAGCAGCATCGGCATTGGCGGCACTATCCACGCTCCCATGCTCATCACCTCCTTCACTGCCTCTACCCTCTAGCCCTGCCGTTTCCTCTCCTCCGCCACCTGTTTCTATTCCACCCCCTTCTCTTCCCCCAATTTCCGCGCCTTCGCGCTCTCCGCTTTCAGCGTCCGCTTCCGCCCCCCCAGTCCCCTTCATCTCGTCATATCCGCCTTGCTCACTCGAACTCCCGCTCGTCCCCTCTGCGCCCTCTCCGGGATCTCCTCGATTCCTTGTCTCCGCGCACTCTGACCCATCGCTTGTCTCCGCTTCGCTGCAACGGAGTTCCGCCCGCGCGCCATCTCCCGCCGACATGGATTCACTCATTATCGCGCTGTCGCCAGGTCTTCCGCTCGCGGCAGGACCAATTTCTTCTGGGCAACCGGACTGTTTGTCTGAACTCACTGTCTCTCCCGCTGATGCGTTACCTTCCCCGCCGGCTTCCCCACTCCGCGGAGAGGGCGCACTAGCTTCCGCAGCGCCAGTCGTCCGCGCAGTGTCCGCCTCTCCGTCCATGGCGATATCGTTTGCGGTTCTCACCAAAGCCGCGCCTTTATTTGCGGATCGTCCAGTGCCTACTCGCTCCCGGGCTTCTCCTTCGGCTACTAGATTCGCCACTAGTGCAGCAGGTCATGAGAGCCCAGCTTACCATTGGTGTATGTGAGAAACGAATCATGACTATCTCGGTTGTCCGAAATTCGTTATTGGGAACGGCAGTTGTGGTGAGGGAGAGATCCAACTGAAGTGGATCCCATAAGATATAGCTGATGAAAACTATCCATTAATTTCTGTGACGTTAGCCCCGGACTTCAATATCTCGTTGGGTGATTACCTAGCGAACATCAAAGCACACCAGCCACCAACCTTTTCCGAGTTTCTCAGGGGGTGTTTTTTTGTTTTTTTTTTTTGGTTGCGAAGCAACCCTTTACGATCGATTTTGCCAAATTTTATTTTCGTAAAAAAATCATATCTTTTTTAATAAAATATGAAAATAAATTTCGTAAACTACAGTGCACTTCCCAAACTGTTGATTAGTTTTGAATATTGTTCACAGTATATTAAACCATATGATCTTTCTTTGTCAGTGGTTTTGTGCAGATATGCGGTACTGTTTGTATTAGTATGTTTTACTATTAAATGATGTTGTGGTAATGATAAATAGATGCATGATGCATAAATAATGCTATAGGATGCATAATATTTAATATAATGTCACGAATCATGATGCACATGCATGCACATAATAAAATGCGTAATAGTTAACGACCCAAAAACTAAGCTACCGCCATCCCTGTCAGATATATATGCCTTAGCCTATGTATGCTGTAGTGGGGTAGACACTAAGGGGTACAGGTTTCATATTTGTATCTCACACTTTCCTAGTTCATTCATTCCTGTTGATTCTCACATGGTATAGAGCGGGTTCCCTCATGGGACCGTTTCTTCCTAAGGGCCCACCATCTGCTTGAACCCACCAGATGTAAGCATGAATATAGTCTGTCAACATTTATTGTTTTCCACCGTATGAGTATGTATCTGGGACCTGACGAGATATGGCCAGTAGTCCTAGCGAGTCTGTTTTTGCACCAAGGATTTGAGACCTGGGGCATGCAACCCATCCACCAAATTCTATTCCCTTCATGCTCTCCCACCCCCGAACCTTCTCGCACTCCCCAGCTTGTTGAATCCATGGCTCTCCCTTCCCGAGTGCCACGTGCCTTCACCGAAGGAAGAAGTCTCCTTACTACGTCATCAGCCTCTACCAAGCGTCAGCATGCAGCATTTCCGTCCGGCGCCTGTTTGTCGACCCCCCTCTTCACACACCGTGCTCTGCTCCAGCGCGTGACAATTACGTCTGGAGCGTCAAGAAGTGAGAGGCGCTATTACGGATCTAGTATCGCGTGCAGATATGGCCGGCCTTCTACGGCAAGCGAGTCGCTGCTGGTGGCTCGCGTCGCTCGTGTTGCCAGCTGCTCGTTTTTCAGAAGCAGTTAGTGTTAGAAGACTTACGTCCTCTGTGGAGGCGAGGAACGATGGTAAGACGGTGAAACGAGAATTTTCTACTTCTGTAACAGGTTTAGGTCACAACCTGTTCCCGTGCATGCATCAGAAGACCTGCAATGAAGGGAGTCCATTGCGTGGGTGGAGTGCGCCAAAGGACATCAGTGCTTAAAAAACGTTGTGTGCCAAATGTATTGACTAAAGCTGTGTGAATATGTGACTGTTTGACTGTGATTGTGTGCATGTATTTGTGCACCCCTCTCAGGCGACCCTCCCTTGTTGGAATCAGTGGATACTTTCTTTGACCGTGCCGCTGCCATCTCGCAGGTCTCCTCCGATATTCTGGCTCGGATCAAGGTCAGTGCCGCCGTACTGCACCACGCTGCACCCCACAGCACCGCACTGTGCTGCATGTGGGAGTCATCTGTGGCACCTGTATGCGCATGAGCTCACTCGTCTGTGCGTGTCAGCATTCTAGGTCCATTCTGCGCCCTCTTTTTGTGCGCCTTCCCTTGTGCGCCCTCCTCTGCGCGCCTTCCTCCGTGCTGCCCATGTGGCAGGCGTGCAGCACGGTGCTGATGGTGCAGTTCCCTCTCAAGCTCGCCAACGGATCCATTGAGCTCGTGGAAGGCTACCGCGCGCAGCACTCACACCACCGCCTCCCCTGTACGCTGCCGCACGGCACCTCCCCTTTCTTCGTAAAGCACCTCCTGTTAACAACTTTGAACAGTCTTATCTGCTCCATGAGTTCATTTGCGACTGCCTTTGTATCCCTGCTGTTTCCCTCTTCTCTCTCTCTTCCTCGTGATCCACCTCTCCTCCTCCCCCCTCCTCGCACGGCTGTAAATGTTTGTCTTGGCGCCTCCACCCACGCCCTTCCTGGAAAACACACCCCCTCCTGTGTTTGTATGTGCGTGTGTGTGTGAACGTGTGGGACCACGCATGTGGGTGTGTGCATGCACGCGTGCTTGCATGCATGAGTGTGTGATGGTGCGATCATGCATGTTGGCATGGTGTGTGTGCATGAGTGGCGAGCAGCCAAGGGCGGGGTGCGCATGGCATTGACGGTGGATCTAGAGGAGACAATGGCATTGGCAGCACTCATGACCTTCAAGTGCGCGCTCGTCGACGTGCCCTTTGGAGGGGCCAAGGGAGGCATCAAGATCGGTGCGTGTGGGTGTCTTGTGTTGTGTATCAGATGTGCTGTGCGATGTGGTGTGGTGTGGCGTGGCGTGGTATGGTGCGGTATGGTGTTGCAGTGGGTAAATGGTAGCAATTTGATGGGGGAATGGCAGCAAGATGGCATGATGGGTTGGAATCTCTTCCTAGAAAATTCTGACCAACCCTCTCACCCCCCCCACACCTTTGTTTCTGAGAGGCCTTTCACCTCGTGGTCTCTGCCTCGTGGTCCATCCATCCATCCATCCATCCATCCATCCATCCATCCATCCATCCATCCATCCATCCATCCATCCATCCATCCATCCATCCATCCGTCCATCCGTCCGTCCGTCCGTCCATCCATCCATCCATCCATCCATCCATCCATCCATCCATCCATCCATCCATCCATCCATCCATCCATCCATCCATCCATCCATCCATCCATCCATCCATCCATCCCTTCCTGGTTTGAGCGATTCTGTGCTGTGGTCATCCCCTCTCCCTCCCTCCGTGCGTGCATGGCTGCATACACGGAGGCAGACCCCAGCAAGTACAGCCGGCAGGAGAAGGAGGCGATAGTGAGGCGCTACACGGTGGAGCTCTGCAAGAGGAACTGCATCGGCCCAGGCATTGTCAGCACCCACCCCTCGCTTCCGTGCCATATTATGTCATGCGACGCGCCGCAATGCCATCCCACACCATACCACGCCACGCCACGCCACGCCATGCCACGCCACGCCACGCCATGCCATGCCATTGGACGTCATGCTCTATGTACCGCACTCATTCTGCTGCTTGCGTCTTCTCTGCTCCTGCATACCTCCCTCTCCCTCACTGCCCTCCCAGCCGTCTTGCCACTCTCTCCGTGTCTGCTCGCCCTTGCTGGAATGCCATGCCAGTGCCATCTGTGACATGACATTCTCACATCATATGACCCACCATACTCCGGGTCCATGCCCTGTGCTCCACTCATGTGCACATGCATGCCCACATACATGTTCTCATGCATCCACACATGCATCCCTGCATGGCAGGACGTGCCAGCACCTGACTATGGAACCGGGCCCCAGGAGATGGCTTGGATAAAGGTGTGTGCTGCACCTCACATGGCTTGCAATTCCCTGGCACACACACAAGGACGCACGCATGCGTGCTCGCAAGACGGCACGCACAGAGGTATTCCTCATGTGACACACGACCTTTGTTTTGCTAATTATCATGCTGACAGTTGACTCGCCTGGCCTCACTCTGTCCTAGGGCCCCATCCCATCGCCACCCCTTCCCCCTTCTCACCTGTGCTACTGTGATGGTGTGCTGGTGGTGCATGGGCCTGGCAGGACACGTACTCATCGCTGCACCCATCTGACCTCAACTCCTCAGCATGCGTCACCGGCAAGCCCCTAGAAGAGGTGGGTGCGGAGGAGGGGAGGAAGAGCTATCAGGAAGGAAATTGGCGAGTGGGGAAAAGGAGGGGAAAGGAGGCAGAGTTGAGGGGATAAGGGGCAGGGTCGAGGGGAGTGGAGCATGGTGAGACAATGACAATGCTAGCAGGATTCTGTGGGTAATGTATGACAGCGGTTCATGCTGACTTGCATATGTGCAGGGGGGCATTCGAGGTCGTATGGAGGCCACAGGCATGGGGGTCTTCCTTTGCCTTCGGGAATTCCTTAACTCCAAGGTATGTGCTTGCTTCAGGTCACATGCACATGCATACGTGCTTATCGCCCGTCTTTCCATCACATCCCTCTCTTCCCACTTCTCCCCCCTTACCACTCCCTCCTTACCTTGCAACATGCGGTGGTTACTAGTACTGTGTTTCATACTGCTTCTTTGACACTGCTGCTGTACCTCCCACTCCCACTCCTCGCACTGCCCTTGTCACATCTGATGTGCTAGTTTGTTTCCTGCCCTCCAGCTCCTGCACATGCTGCTGCCGTTAATCCTTTCTGCTGCTCCTGCCTCTGCTGCTGTTGCGCCGCCTGCTGCTGACGCTGCTTCCCCAAATACCGTCGCCAATAATGACTACTTCCTATCCCATCCTCTACACTCCTCTTACCACACCTCCTACCACACCTCCTACCGCACCTCCTACCCACCTCCGGCCGCACTTCCCCCGCACAGGAGCATGCAGCGTCAGTGGGCATGCAGCCTGGGGTGCGTGGCAAGACATTTGTCATCCAGGGCTTTGGAAACGTGGGCCGTGCTACAGCTGATGTGAGCTGCCCATGAAATGGGGGGCTGCTGGGTGGCCGGTTGTTGCCTGCAGCTGCCGCTGGGGCGCTTGTGAGGGAATGTTGGTGGTGGTGGTTGTTGGGGTTGCCGTGCCGTGCGCTTCTCTGCTGTGCTGTGCTGTGCTGTGCTGTGCTGTGCTGTGCTCTGCTGTGCTGTGCTGTGCTGTGCTGTGCTGTGCTGTGCTGTGCTGTGCTGTGCTGTGCTATTCCTTGCCATGCCCTTCGATGTCATGTGTCTCCTGTGTCTCGTCTTCGTATGATGCCCTTGCCATTCCTCATGTTCATCCCACGGATGTATTCCCGTGGTGTGCGTTCATGTGCATGTGTGAGCATGTGCGTGCATGTGCGAGCATGTGATGTATGTGCATGTGTGAGCATGTGTGTGCCTATGTATGCGTGTGTGTGTCTGCGTGTGCGTGTGTGTGCATGTGTGAGCATGCATGCAGGCGGTGACAGCAGCAGGGGGGCGAGTGGTGGGTGTGATGGAGTACAATGGGGGGTTGCTGGATACCACTGGCACAGGCATGGACATGGCTGCTCTGCGCCTTTACCAGCAGAGGCATGGAACCATCATGGGCTTTCCACATGCCACGCAGGTATGCATGGGGCAATTCACAGCAGCACATCACGGCGGCAAACACAGCAGCAATCACAGCAGCGCATCATGTCTGTACGCACATTGCAGGAGCAACAGCAACAGCGGGACAAGCAGCACCAGGGACATGGTTTCCCAAGGAATACCCGATTAGCACGCTCTGTCATTCATTTCGCCACCATTCTCTTGCTCCATTTTCGTTCCTTTCTTTTCTTCTTCTTTCTCTTTCTTTTCTCCCGTCGCCCTTGCCCTCTCCCACGAAAGTTGCAAGATCCGTCGTCGCTGCTCCATCTGCCGTGTGATGTGCTCATTCCCGCTGCTCTGGAGGGACAGATTCACTCTCGCAATGCTGCTGGCATCAAGGTGACTTGCTCAGGTCCCTCCTCCTCGTGCTGTGCCATGCCATGCCATGCCATGCCATGCCATGCCATGCATTTAAGCCCAATGCCATTCAATGCCATGATAGTCCGTGCGGTGCTGTTACATTTGTCGGGTCTATTGATTCCCTCGTGATGCTAGTCCAATCACATAACATCTGCCATACTGGCTGGCTATACTTGATGCACCACCACCAGCACCACCACCATCATCGCCCCTCTCTCCTACCCACCGCGCTCTTTCCCCCGTTGTCGCCGCCGCCGCTCCCACCGTTGTGACAGGCGCGGGTGGTTGTGGAGGCAGCCAACGGCCCGGTGACCCCGCCTGCTGAAGCCATACTGGAAGCCCAAGGGACACGCATTCTCCCCGACCTGCTGGTCAATGCAGTGAGCTCAGGGGGGTAATGGGGGATGTTCCAATGACGGGAGGGAGATGGTGCGGAGGGAATACGGAGGTGAAGGAAGGAGGAGGGGAGTTGCAGTTGTGGGGAATCGTTCCTGTCTCAGGTCTGGGTTTGGATCTTGTTCTTGTGTCCTAATCCTTCGCGAGGAGGACCCTCCAATGACTCAATTCGTGTCGGCCCCTCTTTCTCCGCATTCCATTCCCTTCAACTCCATTTCATGCCATACCGTGCTACTCCATTGTCATGGCATGGCAGGGAGGAGTGACAGTGTCCTACTTCGAGTGGCTCAAGAATCTTAACCACATGCGCTTTGGGCGTATGAGCCGACACATGGAGGAGAGAGGCAAGGAGGTGCGCAGCATGCCATAGCCATGTCTGACTGCTAAACATGTCCACATGCCTGGACTGGACATGTCTTCGTGCTCACTGCACAGCCATCAAATACACTCCCTCCCTGCTGCTGCATTTCCACTTTTGTCCAGTTGTGCCGCTGTCATGTGGCAGCACGTGCACTGCATTGCGGGTAGTGTATCCTCGAGATGAGACTGTGTGTGTATGTGTGGCGGCAGGCTATCGCATTCTTGGGATATTTTTTGCGGGATGGCCTTCAGCTAGAACCTATTATATGACATGGCATGTGTGGTGTGGCACGGATGGCATGGATGGCATGGATGGCATGGATGGCACGGATGGCATGGATGGCATGGATGGCATGGATGGCATGGATGGCACGGATGGCACGGATGGCACGGATGGCACGAATGGCATGGATGGCATGGATGGCACGGATGGCACGGATGGCACGGATGGCACGGATGGCACGGATGGCACGGATGGCACGGATGGCATGGATGGCATGGATGGCATGCAGGCGCTGGTGGAGGCATTGGAACGGGAGCTGCTGTTGGGAGAGCGCATCGATAGTGATGTTCGACAACAGATCATACGAGGGTAATCCACACCATCAGGCAGGCAGTATGGATCGTGCTGTGGTAGCAGTGTCTTCTTCCCCTACTCGTACAGGAAGACTTTCCCTTCCGTCTCCCACGCAGAATACCTGGTTAACCGCAGCTGCATTATTGCCTCGTATACTCCTAGTTATGGATCATGGCTCGTCCATTGTCTTTCCACAAACCAACATGTTTGATCCCTCATGATGAACACTCAGTCTCATCCTAACACACTTTCTGTCCTCCTATGGTTTGTGTGTGTGGTTGTGATCTGTTTTTGGGCACAGCAACACAGAAAGAGACTTCGTGTATTCAGGGCTTGAGGAGACCATGGTGCAAGCATGGCATCATGTTGCCCAAGTCGCCAGTGTCAAGGTAGGTGTTGCACATGGGGCTGCGCATCGTTTTTCTCCCCCTTGTTTACGTAGCCCTTAATGTGTGGACGTGTCATAAGCCTCTCATCTTTCCCTGCCCCTTTTCTTGACATCGCAAAGGGTTGCACTCTTCGCACGGCATGCTACCTTATTGCCATTGAGAAGATTGCAACAAGCTACCGCCTCAGTGGCATATTTCCATAGTGTTGTTTCTGAAGTACAGTTTGGGGACGTTTAGCACTGGTAATTGCTAAATAAAAATTATGATGTTGTCTACAGACCATGAGAGGGCAAACTCACAAGATGCACAGCTGGTTCACTACGAGCTAGCTGCACTTGCAAATGCTAAACATCAAAAACCGTAAAAGGGATTCTTGTGATTGCGAGTGAGCTTCCGGAACATGACACTATCCGCAATGTCACGATTTTCCCTGGTTTGCAAGATTGGCTTCTTGCCACGTGTCAATACGACTCGGGTGAAGGTGTACGATGTACGACAAACCTTGTACGACCAGTCACCAGTGCGATCCATGTCATGACGACTGGACTGGTCAGTGGAGCGGAGAGTGGACAAATCCAACACAACTGCCGCAATTTTCTCACCACCACCATGCAACCGTTCGATTCTTTTGAGTGCTCAGCCGACACGAGTCGATATACATTCTCCTCCACGGTGTCTACATTCTGAGTGGTGGAACAGGCCACTCCCCTGTTCGCCAGGCAATCAGCGTCGAGTGCACGTACAAGCGCTTCGACATTGGCGCTGTGCGTCGGGCCAGTTCCATCACACTCTCCTGCCTCGTCAGATCTCGTTTGGGGATCCGTCGGCTATGGTTGGTTGGGTGGATCGTACGATGCGGTTGCGCTTGTTTTCCCCTACGCGCCACGTCGGCTCACAGCAACTGTGGGTGCCTTTCCTGTCCCCGCTTGGTGCCCCACTTTGATCTGGGATTCAGAAGGATGGCAAGCTCGCAGCTCAAATTGCTCGGACAGGCTTTACTCGATCTTAGTCGTCATCGGCAAAGGTTGTTTCTGTTCATCTTCTTTCTGATCGGTCGCCTTCGTTCACCTGCTTCCATGGCGAGACATCTGATCCTCGCTGCAGCTCTGCTGCTTCTGGCCATCAGCTGGACAGCGACTCCAGTTTCGGCTCACAGCGCCAACGATCTTGCTAACGACGCTGCGAATGTTACGGTAACAGGCGGGAACACGAGCTGGTCCGTGACGGCTCTCAACATCACTGGCGGATTTAAGATGCTTTCCGACATGAAGGGGACTGCCTTCCTTCCCACCAACGACGCTTGGCAGCAGGCTCGTGACGGGTATCTCAAGTTGAGCGCGGTCGACCCGTCGGTCAAGGAGGCGTTGAACACCGTCGTCGATACCAAGGCTGACGAGACCGCTTTGCTCGCCATGTCGCAAGGCGCATGGAACGTGTTTCATAATCTGGCGCATTACCACTTGGTAATTGATCGAGTCAACGCGACTTTTATCACGACAAATGTAAGTCCGCCGAGTATCTTAGTACCAACCACCTGTTTGCTATCATCAGAGCAAGGTGTTGTCTTCTACCTTGCATTCTAGTTGTTGTGGTCTGACTACTAACCGTGCTTGTCCACTCCACACACCCTTCCACATTACGACGTTTCTGCAGTTGACCGCAAATACGTACTACAGGCTTACGAGCCACAAGAACGAACCCATCTTCCTCTATGACAACAATGTCACTGACGTCATCACAGTGACGGGCAGTCAACCGGCCGGAGTCACCCCGCTCGCCATTCCCTCTGAGGGCAACGACACGCACACCTCTCATGCCGAGGTCCTTGCTGTCACAGTTCCCCCGAAAGCACCCGCCGCTCCCGCTTCCGCTCCTGCTCCCGCACCCGTGATCGCGCCTGTGCCTGCGGTCCCTGGCACTTCCACTGCCGTGGGTAAGGTCGTGATTCCCGATATCATAGACGAGCATGGATACGCCGCTCACGGCATCGACGCCGTGCTCCTCCCCGCCAAGACGAGCGTCCTCTTCGACAACGCCAGCAAGCCTGCTAACACCACTAAGTCTGGTGAGTTTCGTTTATGTCGGTTCACGGAATGGGATGGGCTAGATGTATGCGTTCGTCAATTTCTTGCTCATGATGCGTCGGCCTTATATGCTTGCGTACTCTGTGCTTTTCCTTGCCTGCAGGAACCACTATTCCCGTGATCCACGGGATCTCAGCTCTTAGCATGCTCATCAGTTCGATTGTGCTCCTGCTGTAGCTTAGGGATTTGGTTCAGAGGTTATTCATCTGCTGCCGTAGTATCATTCATGTGCTTGAGGGCTTCACTGTTTGTGCTATGGCTGGAATAATGTGGCATCCTTAGCAGGCAATTCTGCAACCTCCCCACTAGGCATTCTCTTAGGCGTTATCCAACAGACCCACATACCGGTAACAGCCATTGAAAGGCTAAAACAAAGGTTTTTCCAGCATGCATTCGCAGCAGTTCTTGCGGTACTGGTACCGTGATACCCGGGATAAGCCACATAACCTGGGGTAGTTTATGCAGGGGTGGGGGTTTCACTGGAAACCTGCCAAAATAAAAGACCCACCCCTCCATAAGCTACCTTGGGGTGTTAGATTCGGGGGGGTGGGGGAGGGGGAGGGGGGTCCTTTATGGGGGGTTCACAGTGGTATGTACATTGTATAGCGGGCTCTTGGTGATACTTTTAGGAACTTTGGTGGTTGTGGCAGATGTGGTGATTGCTTTGCTGCAAATGCGTACGCCACCTAGCCATGCCTTCACCCTTGGATAAACAAATTACCCCAAAAATGACTACCGTATGATCCTTGTGTCTTTCCAAGAACCTCAAAAGACAAGGATGAAGGGATAGATGTTTCTGATGACAGTTTAAAGGGGTTATAAGGGAATACCAGTGGCCTTGGGTTTCATAAATGATAAAAATTTGATTTTAGTATGTTTTACCAGTGTTTGGAGCAATGTAACAATACCAGATGGCGCTGTACCTTCAAGCGGGATCCAGCTTTAAAACGGATGTTGTCTTCGTGAGTGTTCCAAGGAACCGTTGGTTTCAACTTTTGTCTGGCGGTTCGTATTGAAGCTGTCAGAACGGAAATGGTATTGGTCGGTTCTGTTGCACAGTGCAAGCAAGCAAACTGTTGTGGGCTTGTTTCGTGAAAGTGCGTTCTTGCCCGGACCATCTCAGAACAATGGGGTTCAAAGTTAGAAAACCAGAATGCACCGTTTTATATTGATGCCCACAGCATTTGTACCACCTGTTACCCATTTGTCTCTGTTATCCTCATTCGGAAAAGCCTTGGGGAAATGAGAATGGGACAGGAGCAGAGCCAAGACGGAAGGAGACGGAGGAATGTAATCCCAGGGACACCCTTGATCGGCATTCATTCGTGGAACTCATACCTTCTGGCTGTCGTAATTTCTCGAGTACCTCTGGGATCCCTTGTTGCTGCCTTCTCGCGTCTGGTGGTGCTGAACGTCTCAGGATCTAGCTAGCGGCCTCGCTGTGCGATCCGAATGGTTTGGGTTCGTCCAGTATGGGTTCGTAGTACGTACGATGCTGTGAGATTAATGGCCTCGACGTGGTCCTAAACGTAGTGGTAGTGTAGGGACTTAGTGTTGGCACCACCTCGACGTGGTCCTAACCGTAGTGTTAGCGTAGGTTCGTTCTCAAGCCAGACTTGCTCTTTAGGCGCGATCAGCTGTGCGTAAAACTATCTACCTAGTACACTCGTCCTTTAAACGGTAAGTGGGGCTTGATCGACCTCTTTTTTTGCATCAAACTCTTTACGCCGTACTCCCTGGCCATGTTGAGCCTCCTCCTACCTTACAGAACCAGATCTGCCATAATGAGATCCTTTTTCGCAAGACGCCTATGTAACTTGACAATTCGACTTTTCTCACATTTCGATGCCTTTACCTTGCTACTATTTCCCCACATGACTTCGCCCAAGCTCGGTTTCTCAGGCTCTGTTTTGTATCGAGGCTTCGCATCGCGACTTACGGGAGCTTCGACCATGGGGCAGGCGTTTAGGAAGCTGTTCGATTCCATTTTCGGCAACAGAGAAATGCGCGTACGCGTTTCTTCTTCCTTTCCACGCGCTCGTTTCCGACTAGTCCGCCGTTTTCTCGACCTAATGCTTCTTTGGTTCTCTGTGCTCTCACTCCTCGATCGAGAAACACGCTTGCTCACAAGTCACCGCTGACCAGTCACCCCATTCCTGCACCTTGCCCCCTTGCTCCCTCTCCCAACTAACAATTTCTCCGCTTCCTCGTTATCACAGGTTGTCATGCTCGGGTTGGACGCAGCTGGCAAGACGACAATCCTTTACAAGCTCCATATCGGCGAGATTCTCTCCACTGTCCCCACCATCGGTGAGTGCTACCATTCACCCCTGCTCCAACATGAGCGGGGGAAAAGCAGCAGCAAGAAAAGGGAAAGGAACAGAATTACCGTCTTGTCATGAGTCCACTAGCGTCTGGAATTCCGACGTTTTGCATTCGTCATTGAAACAGCGTAGGATTTGTGTCCTCATGGGTAATTGCGAGGTGCTGTGCTGTGGTGTGTGCGGTGTGCGGGGTGTGTGCGGTGCACGGTGTGCTGTGTGTGCGTTGTGTATGGTGTGGGGTGTGTGTGCACGGCAGGGTTCAACGTGGAGAACGTGCACAAAAACGTGCAGTTCACCGTGTGCGCTCACCTTTCCCCGCCCTGAACCCCCCCCCCCCCCCCCCCCGTCCCGTGCTGCGCGTGCGCGCATGTGCTTGATGGTGTTTGCGTGTGCTGGTGTGCGAGCGGATTGGCAGGGTTCAACGTGGAGAAGGTGCAGTACAAGAACGTGCAGTTCACGGTGTGGGACGTGGGAGGCCAGGAGAAGCTGCGGCCTTTGTGGCGCCACTACTTCAACAATACTGACGCCCTGGTACGTGCGCTGCCAACGGGGGGTTCATTCTGTTTTCATAAGTGTGTTTGCAGTGCCCTGGGACAGATGAGTAGGTGGGCAACGGGGGAGGTTGTTCCCGCGTTAGATGATGAACGGACGACCAGATGATCAGGTGCTTCTGTCTGTGGCGTGGGTGTGCATGCACTAGATGCAAGCGCAGTCCACGGGTCAGCTGCTGTTCACTGCGGCGGTTCTGCTTTACTGGAGTTTTTTTCAGCCACATGGGTTCTGCCTGTGGCTTGACATAGGACGGACGGAGTATCGTGTGTTTCATGGTTGTTTTACTGCCCTTGATGTTTGTGTCCCCGCCCTCTCAGATCTATGTGGTGGACTCTCTTGATAAAGAGCGAGTGAAACAAGCAGCTCGTGAATTTCAGGTGATGTGCCTACCTCAACACGCAACGTTGCTGTTTTTTGTATGCATGTACACTCTGTGTCTTTTTATGGCAGCATGTCCCTCGATTCCCACGTCATCCTACACCTCCCCTGTCTTAAACCAGCCAATTTGTTGAGGTTCCCTCTTTTCTCGAATGCTCCTTGGTATCAACGAGTGACATGTACACATGTGAGGTACGGCGGAAGTCTAGCTACCTACTGCCTGGGGTCCCCAAGGTAATCCAGGGCCCCCCTTACGATGTGGAGTATGTAACAAGCACTAACAGGCTGGTCGATGTCGACCACCTCAGCTTAGTCTGCGTGTTGCACTGTGCTCGTCTATGCACTGAGTGCCACAGCCCGCCCTTGCCGCAAGGTAATGATCTAAATCTCAGTGGACTCCACGAGTTACAGTACGATGCTGTAGCCCCCCTCTTCCCCCCCCTCCCCTCTCTCTCCCCCCCTCTCCTTGGTTCTCTCTCATTCTTTCTCCCCTCCGTCCTCCATGTGCTCCTATCTTGCCTGTCCCCCATCAGACGATAGTGAGCGATCCCCTCATGCGCAACAGCGCCATTCTTGTCTTCGCCAACAAGCAAGACCTGGTCAGTGCACTCTGCACCTGCATGCCAAAGCCTCCCCGCGTTGCTCCTCGTCTGCCTCTCCATTCCCGTGCTATTTGCAGCCTGTTCCTCCACACATCCACGAACCCACTCTTCTACAGCTTCACTCCGCTTGCACTCTCAACCTGCTTCCTTCCACTCGTCTATCTTCTCTTGCCTTCTTTCCCTTTTAATCCTCCTCCTCTCCTCCTACCACTCCCACCTGCTCTCTCCTTGGCAGAAAGGCGCGCTTTCGCCATTGGAGGTGTGTGAGACCATGGGGCTGCAGCAGCTGCGGAACCGTTACTGGCACATTCAGGGCACATGTGCTCCCAAGGGCGAGGGTCTCTATGAGGGGCTGGACTGGCTTTCAAACACTCTCAAGACCATGCAGGCCAAGGGTCTGCCCACCTCTGTCATGTCTGCTGGGGCTCCATGAGACACATTATGGGCCAAGGAGTTGATGTGTGGGTGCTGTGGCACATGGCATGGAATGTGTAATCAGGAGAATGTCTGCAGGTGTATGGAGCAATTTAGAGGGCGGCTGGTGCAAGTTCCCTAGCACTGGTGCAGTTGTCCCCCCCATCATGAGCTTCCTCTTCCCAGTTCCTCCCTCCTTCCGATTCTTCCCCGCTGGTAGGCCCTGCTGTCTAACTATCGACCTCCGGTATTGATGCCTTTAGTTCCAAACGTCAATGACTCTAGATGGGTTAGACTTGTTAATGCCTTCTAGGGGATTTTTTCTTGTTTTCATGGTGTTGTACCTAAGGGTACGTTCTTAGCCCATGTCAAGTTTCCTGACAAAGGGCTATAGACGGCTCCGATCGTTCCACGTCATCATCAATCAAATCCAAACCCTTCACAGCTTCATGTCTGGATTTTGGGGTGGCGGTGAGCTGGTTTCAACATCCCTTGGGTCAAACCATTCCCACCCACAGATACCATCTTGGCTCATGTAACATCGCAAATGATCTCGCAGTTGTTTCTGGGGACATTTAGCTGAGCTCGCGAACACGTCCAATACAGGTTCTTACTACCAATCAAGCTATGACAGGTACGCTGGATTCTTGTCGCTGGAAGTGGTGGCTGAGAAGCAGCACGCGACGTCGAAGGCCATTCCGTCGCCAGCCACAACCTGTCGCTTGCGCTAATCAACTTGGAGGGCAAACAGTCGCAGCATGAGCAATGACCCTTCGCTGTACAAGACAAAACTGGAAGATTTGCGACGTCTGTGATTGGGCCATCGCTATCCTTCCTAAACTGCGTCCCTCATTATCGGCACATCGTCTAACTAAAACGCACATTCCGTTCCATTCTTTCTTCACACGCATAGCTAGTTATCTCCCTTTTTCCATAGCAACTTAGCGCCAGGCTTATCAGGTCCCCCACAGCCAGCCACCACCACCAGCCCGCGGCTCTGGCTAATTAGTAATTTCTCAAAACGTCAGGCCGCAACGCGCGTTGTTTTCCATGTTTCGTATGCCTTGTTCAGTAGCGTGTTAATCATCTCGTCTCCGCGCGTGCGGCCATGTGGCGAGGTCCGTTCGCGTCCACGGCATGCGCCACGCTTCACAGAGGAAAAAACTCTGTGCGGCGGCAGGCCGGACAGCTGCAGAGCTTCTGGGAAGCTTCGCCCGCGCGGCAGAGCGCCTCCTTGACTTCCACGGATGGCGCAGCCAATTCCGCCGCAAGCAGCGCCGCCTTTGCCGCCAGGGTTGCCAGCGGCGCCGCAGTGCCGAGCTGTGAAGGTGCGGAGGGTGGGTTGTTGCGCAGCGGCTGTGATCTCGCCAGCCGCGTGTCGTCCGGCGCGCCAAACGCGGCGGATCTGGCGGTTCCAATCACGAGTCGCTCATCGCACGCAGTCTCCGCGCTTCTCTCAAGTCCAGCCTCGGGATGGGGAGCTGGGATCTCCCACTTGCACCCTTCCCGTTCCGCCTTCTATCCCTCTCACTCTGGATCTAGGCCCTTAAGGTACCGAGGCTCTCGTTCTTATCGATCAACCTCTCCTCTTGTTTCTCGCCAACGGCGCCAAAGAGAAGGGTTTTCTCCCAGCCAGTCGTTCTCACAAGGATTCGATATCTCTAAAACCCTGAATACCGTCGTAGCTCCCCCAGTAGGCCCCATCCGACCGTCCACGTCATCCCGACACGCATCGCAGGCCCCACACGTGCGAGATATGCCACGTCAGCATGTGCACACGGGCGCCGTTCCCTCCGTCTCCTCCCCGTCTCCGGCGCCTTCCTCTTCCCCTTCCGCCGCCTCCTCCGCCGCGCTCCCGCCTGCGTTGATAGATCCCAGCATCTCGCAGCATTTGTTCCCCTCCGATAGATCGCATCTTAGGAACGCCTCTGCGGCAGCGACAGCGGCGGCGGCGGCGGCGGCGGCGTCGACGAAATCGGCGCCTGCAGCGGTGCTAGCCACCAGTATGGCCCTGCCCTGTCGACAACTGCTCGCTGCCGTCTGCCCCACCTCCGTCTTCCACGTCATCGACACGTGGGTGGCAGCACCGGACGCTGCCACCAGTGGAGCCTCGGTCAACGCGGTCAACGGGTCAAGGCAGGATCCGAGCGTCGGCCCCTGGTCATTGTCGCCCACCAGGGCCGCGGGGTTTCCGACCTCTTCGGGCGGAAGCGGGGGGCGAGAGGACGTCTTGCGCAGGCTTGGGGGGAGCGGTATTGGGCAGGTCGGGGAAGGGAATGCGCGCGGCAGGGGCATTTCGGGAACAACCGCGCCTGCAGGCGTCCCGCAGCCGGTTTCAGAGGTGTCTAGCGCAGAGGCGGAAGCAGGCGCAGCGGGAGGCGCAGATGCAGGCGCAGCGGAGGGATCAGTTGCATGGGGAGCAGCGGCGGAAGTAGAAGCGAAGGCCAAGGTGGGGGGACAGGCAATAGCTGAGGACACGGAGCCTATGTGGACGTTAGATTTGGACCCCATCCGACGTGGCTCGTTCCGATTGGGCCAGCTACAGAGCGCTCAGGGTCAGAGCAGCAGCAGACTGAAGGAGGGTTCAACCGAGAGCACTAGGGTTTCTGGGGGCGATTTCAGCAGCACCAACTGGGAAAAGCTGGTGGCGGAAAGATTCTCCGATCCGCAGTGCGCTGAGCCGAGTTCTAGCGGCAGGGTTCGGGGTTTCGGGTTGGGGGGAAGAGGAGGGGAGGGAGGCGGGGAGCGCGCGGACAGCGCAGGGATGCAGGCATTGGTCGGCGGAAAGGAGCAGCGGAGACAGCAGCAGCAGCAGCGGCAGCGGCAGCAGCAGGTGCAGCTGGCGCAGCAACGGCACTACACAGATTCCGCGCTTGGCGGAATCCTTTCCGCTGCGCCATCATCCTCATCAGCTGCGGCAGTGAGTTCCGCCGCTGGTAGCGCGCACGAGGCGCTGGAGCGCGGGGACGGACGCGGGGGCATGCCAGTGGCGGAAGAGGCGCTGTGGCGCGCGCGGGTGGCGGAGCTGATGCGCGTGGCGCTGGAGGAGGTGGAGGAGCGGCGCAGCAAGCTGAAAGTCCGCGCGGAGGACGAGGAGAGGCAGAGGCAGCGGGAAGTAGAGGCGTTCAAGAAGGCTGCGGAGGAGTACAGGCGGGAGCAGCAGGAGATGATGAAGAAGCGCATGGGCCCGCGCACGGGCATGGGGAAGCAGCTCATGTCGCAGTGGTTCGCGCGCCTCAAGACCGCCGTGCTGGAGGAGCGCGCGCGCTATGAGACCGGGGGGGAGCGCGCGCCTTCCAGCAGCAGCAGAAGCACCGCCAGTGGCGGCAGTGGCGGCAGTGGGAAGAGTAGCGGTGGGGGAAGGGGGGTTAGCCAGCTGACGAGCGCGGACCGCGCGCTGCAGGTGTTTGGGGACTTTCTGGTGAAAGTAGACGCGGAGAAGCTCGCAGCCATCACCCTTAACCGCACCGTGGACCTGCTTCTATCGGAGCAGGTGCGCATGGCGCGTGGCAGGGACGGCGCGCAGGGGCAGCGCCAGGGCGGGTTCGGCGGGGGCGCGGGCGGGGGTGGGGGCGGCGGGGGGGGAGTGCGGGGCGAGACGGAGAAAGGGCACAAGTCGTTTGCGAAGGCTGTGTCCCTGGCGACACAGATTGGGAAGGCGGTGGAGGTGGAGATGAACCTGGCTCGCGTGCAGGAGGAGGTAAGAAGGAGCATGCGCGTGCTCAAGAAGAAGCAGCGCCAGCAGGCCGCTAGAGACGCGGAGCAGGCGGAGGCAGCTGCGCGGGACGCGGACGGGGGAGGAGCAGGTGGGGAAGCAGCGGGAGAAGCAGTTGCGGAGGGCGCGGGGGTGAAAGCGAAGGGGAAGGGGAAAGCGGGGAAAGGGGGAGGGGGCGCGGGGGAGGCGGGGGCGGGGGAGGCGGAGGTGGATATGGAGCGCATGGCGCAGCAGAGGGACGTGCTGCGGAAGCTGAGGAAGGAGAGCCAGCTGTCGGAGTGGCAGAAGAAGCGGCTTGTAGCGGCGGCTGTAGCGCAGGCACAGGAGCCGTGGAGCACAGAGCATTATGTGCAGGTGGGGTCGTGCCTGATACAGCTGCTGCTGCAGTCTGCGCACGTGCCCCAGTCGATGCTGACGGGGAAGAAGAAGGGGGACGGGGACGGGGACGGGGAAGGTGAAGGGGGGAGTGGGAGTGGCGCGAAGGTGGAAGCGGTGGAGGGGAAGAAAAAGGGGGGAGGTGGGAAGGAGGGGAGTGTGGGTGAGGGGAAGAAGGGCGGGGCGGAGGGGGGTGCGGCAGAGGAGGAGTTTGTGCCGGCTTTTGTGATGGATCGAGTCAAACTGGGCACTGGCGGGTGAGTGCTGCCCTGCCCTGCCCTGCAATCATCCCACGTGTGTCAGCCCAGCCCACCAGTATGACTACCCTCTTTCCGTGCCTGCTCCTTATCTTGATGCACTTTCCTCTCCCTTTTGGTTTCCGTGCCACTTGTCGGTCCTTGCTTCATCGCATCCCCCCATCCCATCACGCCTCACGCCATCATTCCTCACTCGCCGGTTCATGTGATCAGGGCGCATCAGCGGTATGGAGTGGTGGCATGTGCTACAGAGCTCAGTGACATCCTTGATAACTTCGTAAGACGCCATGCCATGCCATGCCATGCGATGCCACGCCACGCCATGCCCTACCTTAGAACAACACACAGTGCTTCACCTTAATATGTGTGCGGCAACGACAAGATCGGTCATGTCTAAGTTTTCCCTTCCATCCTTTCCTTGAGCCTGCCCGTCTCAGTCTCTGTCTCATTCTATCTCTCTTCCTGTTTCTCCCCCCTTCTTCCTTCACATGTCTCGGCGTGCAGGCATTGCAGCACGTGCCGTTCATGCCCTACATGCCCATGCTTGTGCCACCGCGGGAATGGCGCAGGTAGGTGACACCATCCTTGCTCTTGCCCTGCCCTGCCCTCTGCTGTCGCTGTCGCTGTCGCTGTTGCCGTTGCTGTTGCCCGTGTTGTTGGGAGGACGGGGATGTGGGAAGAGGTTGTGAGGCTGATATAGCTACTAAAACAGGGAGGGAGGAAGTCTTCCGACATGCACGTTCTTTGCAATTGCTAATCCCAGTGTCCCTTTGAGCATTCTGGCCCCATGCTATTCCCGCTACCCTGCCCTCCCCTGCTATTCCCTCTGCCCTCTCTCCCCTCCTGTGTCCCCTGCATCCTCTTGGTCTGTTCTAATTCTTTCTGTGTGTTCTGACTCCCGTGCAGGTACAACTGGGGCGGGTATCTCTTCCTGCCAAACAACATAATGCGTGTCTTTGGCAATCCGGAGCAGCGGAACGTGCTTCAGCGCACCGAACCTGCCCGACTGCGTCGAGTCTTCCGGGTATGCCGCCATGTGCTCTCTCTCTCTCTCTCTCTCTCTCTCTCTCTCTCTCTCTCTCTCTCTCTCTCTCTCTCTCTCTCTCTCTCTCTCTCGAATGGTCCTTGTATTTCATATGGGGTGGTACAAGGGAAGATGCAAACACAAAGCATAAACAAACACCCAAACCGGAATCCTATCCCCTCCAAGTCCCCCACCTACTCCGCCCCCCCCCTTGTCCGACCCTACTGGTCGAAAGGGGCCTCGATCAACTGGTGCAGCTGTCCCTCACTGAGAGGGATGGTGGGGCCCCGAAAGCCGAGCTCGTCCGCCGCCAGGGCCTCATTGGTCTTGGTGCGGATGGCGTTGGCCTGCGACCGCTGGAGGCACACACTCCAGCGCTGGCGGTACTCCGTCAGCAGCTTCGCTGCTTCGTAGGAGGTAGGTGCTGCGTTAAACCGCAGCTTCGCCGCCAGCTCCGCGCATTGCCGCAAGTAAGCCATCACCCCTGGCGAGGGGTAGCCGTAGGTTTCTACTGCAAGCGCGTGGAACCCCACCCACGCGTTCCGACGGGCGTACTTCTCCTCCTTTTTCGCCGCTGCCGCCCTAGCCGCCCATCCAGGAGCTCGGTTGCAGTTCTCGTCCTGGTAAGACACCGGGTCCGTCACGGTCACGTCGCACATCCAAACCTCTCCAGTCAGGGGATGACGGATAGAGACATCCGCCTTTAGGTTTTCAACCAGAGAGTAGACATACGTCTCCTTGTGAACCGTAAACCCCGCCTCAACCCCTATGTTCGCAATCTCATCCCGCAGAGCGTGATGGGTTGCGGTCCTCCCTTTCCCCTTCTCGCAGCGCATGAGGTGGTTGGGGAGGCGATCGTCAGGGAAGGTGGTGCGGTAGCGGCAGTCACAGCGTCTGGGCACGGGGAGGGGAAGGCCTAGGCGGAAGGCAGCTGCAGTAGAGAGCTGGGATGGGCCCATCCGTAGCGAGGGGATGAGCGGGATCGCCAGCAGCCAGTCCCCCGCGCCTGGGCCTAGCACTGACTGCATCCTTTGCGCGTGGCCAGAACGGGGGTTGGGGCGCATCTGCCTTGCCTCGCGCATGACTCTCAAGAAGCGGTGGGAGTGAACCGCCAGCGCTAGGCTCTGCTGTAGCTTCAGTCCCTTGGGGTCTGCCTTCCCGGCCTGGAGCACCTCGAGAGCCTCTGGGGGGAGAGCTGCCTCAGCCGCAGCGAGGCGTGCAGGCAGCGCGTGCGGAGAGCCGTGGGTCGGGTCCAGTAGGGGGAGGAGCGCGGCGATAGCGGGATGCAGTGAGTTCTCCAGGGAGTGCAGGAGGTGGGCGGCGCTGATCACTGAGGCGAGGTAGGCGTAGCTGCTTTCAACAGCGGGGTCAGTGATGCCCAGGCCTCCCAGAGTCACTGGCAGTGCTGCCTGCCGCCAGATCCTCCGTTTCTCCCTGACACTCCTCGGGCTCAAGATGTGGGCCGAAACCAAGGTGTGGAGGAGCTGTTCCCCCCAAGCAAACCATTCCGCTTTCGGGAGGGCTTCCAGGGGGGTGGTTCTGGCCAGAAAAGATGCTCGGCGGCTGACACAGCGGGTGAGGAGGAGGAGACTAAGCTGGGGGTCCATCTGGGCTAGCAGGGGGAGAGGGGCTGCCGCTGCTGCCAATCTCTCTCTCACAGCGCCTGCGCAGCCCCGGGGTGTGCCCACTGGGCTGCCGAGAATCTGCAACCCTTCTTCGGCGATACTAATGCCTGGGGGAACCGAAGAAGGGTCGATTGCTGCGGCAGACCACGCCGCGCATTTTCCCGGATTGTGAACCAGGCCGAGGGCGGCTAGTGCCGATGTGAGGTGGACAAATGCCGCTGTGCAGGCCGTGGCGTCGCCGAGCAGCGTGATGTCGTCGGCGTACGCCAGCAGGACCACCTGAGGGTGTGCTGCCGCCGTGTCAACGAGGCACGGATGGATGCTTGCCGCGAACAGGAGGGGGCCGAGCGGGTCCCCTTGGCGGACTCCTCTGGCGCTCTGCAGCGGGGCGGCGCCGAAGTCGTGGTCGAGGAAGAGAGAGGAGGCAGCCCCATAGGATAGGCGGACGAGGGGAATCAGCGCCTTCAGCGCCTCGTTTCTCAGCCCCTCGAACACCGCTCTCCTTTCGACCGCATTGAACGCGTTCGCGAGGTCAATCTGCAGCGCCACTGCCCCTGAGTGCACTTCCAGGTACGTGCGAGCGGTGTGAATAGCCGCTTCGATCCCCCCTGCTACTGCTACTCCGAACTGAAGGGGAGTAAAGTGAGTACGAGCGGCCGGCGCGGTCAGAAATAGGGCGGCCTTGGTAATGATCCGGAGGAGACATTCACCCACCGCGATTGGCCTCGTCCCACCTTGAGGTTTCGTAAAGGCTAACAGGCGGGAGGCCGTTAAGAGTTCCCCTGCGGTCGCGGGGAGTTTTCCTGCTAGAGCCGTGTTTGTGAGGGCGAGGAGATGGGTGAGTACTTCGGCATTCCCAAGGGCCGCGTCTCGGATGTGCTCGAAGGTGGTTCCTGAAGGCCCGGCCCCGACTCCATTGGGGAGCTTGGCGAGGAGATGCCTGAAGTCGCGGGCTTCGACAGTGGGTGGGTCTTCCGCCGTGGCAGTGTGAAGCCAATCAGGGAGTGGTTGGCATGCAGGTGGGTGTCTCGCCGTGAGGGCTTCCAACACTTCAGGTGAGGCTGGCGACACGGGAGTGGCCTGGAGGGATTGAAGTGATTTTGACAGGTTACCCCGTTTTGCCAGTCCTTCCGCTCTTGCCAGGATTCCAGTTGTGTCAGGTGCGTGGCGAGGTTGCGGTGGCAGGGAAATCGCCTGGACAGCTTCTTCGTATAGGACGGCCCAGGACCCTTGGCGAAAAAGCAGGAGCCGATTCATCATCGCGCTCCAGTCAGGCTTACGGGCTGACGAGGTGCGAAGAAGTAGGCGCGGGAGGAAGGTCAGTAACTTCCACCCAGGTGGGGACTCGGGATTGGCCGCCAGGTGGAGTAACGGTGTCAACATGCAGATCGCGAAGGATTCGCGAAGGTCTTTGGGGGGGTGGCGGGCAAGAGGAGGTTGGCGACTGTCGCGTAGCGGGTCAAGGTCCTAGTCTGCAACCTGGGCGAACAGGTCTGTGTTTTTCGCCAGGTCGTCAGGTTTGAGCATCAAGGGGGTTGGATTAGGGGCTTCTGAATTTTCATTGGCCGCTGCAGAGTCAATTCCGTCTTCTGTCGCGGCTTGATTTCCCCCCCTTGCACGATTTCCCCCCGCGGTTCGGTTTCGATGTGTGGTTCGGTTCGCGGGATCGCCTCGGGCCTGCTGGTTTGGGGATTCCATTTCTTGAAGCAGCAGCTCCAACTCTGCCTCGTCCTCCTCGGCCTCTGCTTCGAACAACCCCTCTCTTTCTGGGTTAAAAGCGGGGTCACCCCCATCGCTTTCTTCAATCTCGACTTCGTCCTCTGCTTCCTCGCTGAGCACCTCCTCGCCGCCTTCCGCGCCTTCACGCATTAGCCTTTCTGCAGTTCTCGCGTATCCGCTTGCGCCGGTACGGCGCCGATTTGTGCCGCGCGCTCCTCCACCTCGGCGTCCTCTCCCGTTCCCGCGTCGTCCGCGGCGGTTGCTGCCGCGTCCCACGTGGATTCCCCGCGTTCCTCTTCCTCCCGCCGCTCCCGCGCGCCCTGCCAGGGGCGCCCTATCCGCCTCGTCCCCAATAGGTCGGCGTGCTGGCGTCGGCTGCGGTGCTGTCGGGGGTGATGGACCCATCCGCGCGACGGGATCCGGAGCTCGAGGGTTCTGCGGAGAGCGCGCTGCCGGACCCTGCGCCTGCCGGGTTTCGACCGCATGTCCCTGCGCATCCCTCCGCAAGCGAGCCCGTCCGCCGCTTTGAGCGGATGCTAACTCTTCCTCATCGGCCTGCCGCGCGCCCCACCTCGCCGGAGTATTCGTGGGTCCCTGCACGTGTTGCGTCAAGCCGCCCTGACGGTCAGCCGCGGCAGGAGCGTGGGCGCTCGCCTCCGCGTCAGCCTCCTCGGCAGCCCTCTCCTCGCCGCCCATCTCCTGAGCGTCGCGAAGCCCCACAGCGCAGGGAGGGCGCTCAGCGGTCTCCGGCGCATCCCCGTTCTCCTCGCCGCCCATCTCCTCGTGGTCGGGTAGGCCAGCGCAACGGTCCCCCGCGCAACGGTCCCCCGCGCAACGGTCCCCCGCGCAACGGTCCCCCGCGCAACGGTCCCCCGCGCAACGGTCCCCCGCGCAACGGTCTCCGCGGCAATCTCCGGCGACGCGGGGGAGGGGGTCGCCTGGGCGTCGTTGGGATTCGGGCCGACGCGAGCAGTCCCCTCCGCGACCGCACTCTGCTGGTTCCGGAGGTCGGCGGGGCCGGCGGAATGGCGGTGGGCGTGGCGGCAATTGTAGCGGGCAGGATCCCGCCCTCGAACGGGCCGCGAATGCATTTGCGGAAGTGGTGCGGCAGGCGCGGGCGAGTGGGGAGCCGACGCACGTGCACATTGAGGTGACCAACGGACCTCCCTTCGCCGCGGACCCAGGCCCGGTGGCTCCTCAGCGCGCGCCGACGCTGCGCGAGTATCTGCCCGCGCGGGAGGGGGGGGCTCGGTTTCGCACCCCTCGCCAGGTCCCGGGCTTCTCCGCGCAGCGCGTGACTGGTGGCCGGACTCCTGGCTGGTCGACGGCGTTTCCGCGCGAAGCTCCGACTGCACCTCCCCCCACTCACGCGGGGAGAGACCCCATGCTGACCATGTGCCGGATTCTGAATCTGGCGGAGGCGTGTGAGGTGGTGGCGAACTTGCAGCTGGCGGTGTGTGGGGCCACGCGGAGCTTTCCGAGCAGTTACGGCCCAGGATCCCGAGGGTCCTGCGTGTCTTTGGCAGAATCGCTCGAGTCGCCGTTGGCACCCGTGTCGGAAGCGCCCGCCGGGGTAGCGCCCTTAGCGCGTACCTTCCCCCGCCACGTGGGGGATCTTGTAGGGGCTGCTCAGGTCGGGACTCCTGTGGACACACTTCAGTCGTCGGCGCATCTCCTCCTTGCAATGACGGCGTGCATGCGCTCGATGCTTGAGGTGGAGGGGGCGGAGCCGTACACGATGTAGGCTTTCGCCTAGTGTAGAACTGCATGCCGTGATGTCTTGTTTTAGTCCTGCTCTCCTGCTTTCTTTGCGTGTGTGTTCTTCCCCGTATTGGTAGTCCTCCGCCTTGTTCCTTGCCACCAGGAGCGCGCGGCCGGAGGCCGCGCAAGCGAGCGGCGGCGGCCGAAGGCCGCCGGCGCGAGCCGCCGAAATTGAACACCACACGAAATAATGAGGAGAAAAAGACCAAACCAGCCCTTAAAAGGCTCTGGAGAGCAGAGGGCAGAGGGATGAGGCAGAGGGCAGAGGGCTAAGGGAGTCTCTCTCTCCCTCTCTCTCTCTCTCTCTCTCTCTCTCTCTCTCTCTCTCTCTCTCTCTCTCTCTCTCTCTCTCTCTCTCTCTCTCTCATGCCCTGCCCTGCCCTGCATTACCCTGCTCGCTACAAGATATCTGTTCCACTTTCTGGCTCGACTCTCGTGCTGTTTCGCCCACATTCTACATTCTACTCTCTTCTCATCTCCCCTCCCACCTTCCCCTCCCCTCCCCTCCCTGTTCTTCTCGTTCACACGCCCCTCCTGCTCCATTCCACCCCCTCCTCACCGCCCCACCTCTCCCTCTTTGTGCCTGTACCCGCCCCATCAGGCGCTGAACGTGCTGGGCTCCACGCCATGGCGCATCAATGAGAGGGTACTGGGGGTGCTGGAGAAGATATGGCTTGACGGTGGCGGCAAGGCGGGCCTCGTTGAGAGACATGATGTATGTAGGCTCGCCCCTCGCTCTTCCTTTGCTTTCCTCCCCCTTGCATTGCCTTGCTGTGCCTTCTGTTTGATTTTTTACCCTTTCCTATCCGAGTTCTTGATGCTTCTTCCCATCCTTGTCACGCTTCCCCCCTCTGTCCCTCCCTGACCTTGTCCCCCTCTCCCCCCCATCCTTCCCATCTCCGGCCCATCTCTTCCCCCGCCGTCTCCCTCCCCCCTGGCAGGTGCCAGTGCCAGAGGAGCCAGGGGAGGGGGCGACGGAGGAGGAGAGGAAGGCGTGGCGGAGGGCAACGAAGAAGGCGGTGAAGGAGAACATGGAGCGCCACTCCATGCGCCAGGACCTCCGCCTCAAGCTCGAGGTGCGTATTGGAGTCTTTTCTCTTGTAAGAGTTCTCAGAACAACCTAGATGTGAGGCGCCCTGTGAAGGAGAACATGGACCCTCGCCTCCATCCCCCTTTTTCTCCACACAGGTGGCACGACAATACGCAGCAGAACCGCGCTTCTACTACCCACACAACCTGGACTTCCGCGGCCGCGCCTACCCCATGCACCCGCACCTCAACCATCTCGGCGCCGACCACTGCCGCGGCCTCCTCCGCTTCGCTGACGGCAAACCCCTCGGCCCCTCGGGTCTCCGCTGGCTCAAAATCCACCTCGCAAACCTCGTCGGGAGCGGTGCGGACAAGCTGAGCTTTGATGAAAGAGTGAAATATGTGGATGAGAGGATGGAGAAGGTGCGGGCGTCGGCGGAGGATCCGCTGGGGGAGGAGGGCGGGTGGTGGATGGAGGCGGAGGACCCGTTTCAGTGCCTGGCGGCGTGTATTGAGATTGTGAGCGCCGTGGACTCAGGGTGTCCGGAGAAGTTTGAGTCCAGCCTGCCCGTGCATCAGGACGGCTCCTGCAACGGGCTGCAGCACTATGCCGCGCTCGGCAGGGATGTGGTGCGTGTGTGCTTGGGGTTTTGGGTTGAGTGTTGTGGTGAGGGGTGAGTGTGGGAGGGGGGGGAGACGTAGACGTGGTGAATGTGTGTTTGTCTGTGTGAGCAGGGTGGAAGATGGGGGGTTGACTTGCTTGTGTGTGGTGAGGGTGGGCGGGGTAGGGATGTTGTGAATGGTTCAGGCTTGTGGTCATGCGCTTGCCTTTGATTCTAGCTCACGTCTGCTTTCAGTCCCCATGCAATCCAATCCCCTTCAGTCAACCCTGCTCGCGTACCTATCTCCTCCCTTCCTCCAACCCCTTTTCCCAACCCCTCCTCCCCGCCATCTCCCCCAACCACACATGTCCTCACCTGCTATTTCTAACCATCTGGCAGGAGGGAGCACGGTCAGTGAACATGGTGAGCAATGAGCGGCCTGCTGATGTGTACACGGGCATCGCTGAGCTGGTGAAGGAGGTGATGCAGGGTGACGTGGCAAGCAGCCACGGGCCGCCGCACAGTCCCACTCAGAAGCCAAGTCAGCGAGGCAGCAAGGGGAAGGGAGGCCGTGTGGGGGGGGCAGATGCGGTGGGAGATGCTGCGACATGCAGCAGTGATGCGGGGGAGGGGAGGGAGGGTGGTGAGGCCATGCGTGGGGATGGGGATGCTATCTCGGCTGCTGACATTGCTGCTCTCGATTCCATTCTTGGCGACAGCAGCAGCAGCGGCAGCAGTGGCAGGAGCAGCGGGGACTTGTGTAGAGCAGACGAGGAGGAGTGGGGCAGTGGGAACGACCCTGCTGCCACTCTACTCTCGAGCGACGACGACGAAGACGACGCAAGCAGCAGCAGCTGCCCCAATTCGCTCAGACTAGCAGGTGACAAGTCTAGGCGAGACGGCAAGAGAAGCACGAGCAGCAGCAGCAGCAGAAGTAGTGACCTAACGGATGATCGCGATGGCAACAGCGGCGTGGATGCGGAGGCGAGGAGGCGCGGCGTGCACGCGCGGTTCCTGGCGGGGCAGGTGGACCGCAAGCTGGTGAAGCAGACGGTCATGACCTCGGTGTATGGAGTCACGTTTGTGGGCGCGCGCACGCAGATCATGAACCGCATCAAGGAGAGGTCCCTCACGGATGACGATCACCAGCTGTACTCCGCGTCCGCTTATGCTGCCAAGGTGGGTGCTGCAAGGGTGGGGTGCTGGTGGGGTGAGGTGTTGCGAGGGTGGGCTGTGTCTGCTGATCTAGAACTGGCCATGTAGAGAAACATCTTGATTGAAACCGGTCTGAGTGCTCAGGTTCAGGAAGGCTTGTGTGTTTTGAGAGCTCCCAGGCACGTGTTCTCATTTCTCTGTGTTTTTCTGCACGTGCATGTGTTCGTGTGTGTGTGCTCATGTGTGTGTCTGTGTGTCTGTGCGTGTGTGTGTCTATCTGTGTATGTGACTGCATTGTTGTCTGTCCATGTGTGCTGCCTGTCGCAGGTGACACTAGCAGCCATGGACCAGATGTTTGACTCAGCCCGGCAGATCATGGCATGGCTCGGCAAATGCGCTCAGGTGATATGCCTCCTTTCTACCATGCCATGCACTGCCATTAGTCATCCATGCCACATGCTGTAGTGGTGGTGAAGTTTGATAGTTCCGCCATGCAACTACATGCCTTTGAGAGTTTGGTATTTTGCGACATTACCGCAGCTCGTTTTCTCATGCTCGTCGTTCACTCCCCAGCCCTCCACCACCCACCTGCTCCACCCCCTCCTACTCTCCCCTCCCAGTTTACCCCTTTCCTGGTCCCATCCCTCATTGACAAAATTACTCGCGGATTTTGTATTGACAAGTATTTTTCCACTTTCGCTCTCGTTCCGTTCCTGATGAACGCCACCTCCTCTAGCAATATCAACTCACGCCCCTGCTCTTCCCCTCGCCCTCCCTCCTCCCTTTCCCCCCTCCCCTCTCCCTCCTCCTTTCTCCCTGCGTTCCCCCGCACAGCTGATAGCAGCGGAGAACGAGAGTGTGAGTTGGAGCACGCCGCTGGGGCTGCCGGTGGTGCAGCCATACCGCAAGGAGGGCCGCAAGGTCGTCAGGACGGCGTTGCAGTCATTCACACTCATCGACGACCGCATGCGCCGCGATGTGAGTCTCATCCCTTGCTGCCTTGCCTTGCCTTGCTCTTCTCTCGTCGCCATAGTCTCAGCTCGTTATTCTTGTGTTGTCAGTCTCGCCGCTGCAGTCCGTCACACTCATCGACAATCGCATGCGGCGCGAAATGAGTATCGTCATCCCTTTGCGCTCACCTCGTTCGTTTAAGAATTTTCGGTGTGAGAGAGGGCAAGGGGAGGGGAGATGTGCGAGAGAGGGATGCAAGAGTATCTGCTTCAGTTCTGTAACCTGACTTGCCACTCAAACCCACCCACCCATCCAACCATGCATGCATGCATACACACCCCATCGCTGTGCCGCACCTACAGGTGGTGGGGCAGCGGCAGAAGTCAGCATTCCCGCCCAACTTCGTGCATTCACTTGACTCCACACACATGATGATGACTGCCATGGCCTGCTACAACCGCCGCATCACATTCGCCGGTCTGTCTCTCCCCTGCCCGCCTTCCTCCTACATGCCCGTCTGCCTGCCGCTTCCTGTATACTCCTGCTTACTCGCGCGAGCTTCTTCAAACGATAACAAACTTGGAAATACGCTAACACCTCTTTTCCCCTCCTTTCCCCTCCTTTCCCCTCCTTTCCCCTCCTTTCCCCTCCTTTCCCCTCCCTGCTCCTCCCTGCCGCTCATCTCCGTGCCTGGCCCTACCCCTTCGTGCTCCGCCCCTCCCGACCGGCCCCGCCGGCTCCCCCCTGCTTCATGTGTGGCATGGCAGGAGTGCACGACTCGTACTGGACGCACGCGGCGAGTGTGGAGCGCATGAATGAGATCCTCAGGAAGCAGTTCGTCGCCCTGCACTCCCAACCCCTGCTCGAGAATGTCAGTGCCCCCCTGCCTCCCTGCCTCGCCACATCCATGCCTGTTGTGATCCTTTCCGAGAACTCTCTGTCATTCTCCGTCTGTCAACCACACCATGTGCATGCACAGACAGACACTCTACTTTTGAGACGTCTCAAAAGTTGCACAGACAGACACTCAATGTCTCTCACTCCGTGCCCCTCCCTCGCACCTTCCTCTGATTCTTTCACCCCTTCCTAATCCTTTCCAATCCTTTCGACGCTCCCCACACTCCCCACTCTCCACCACACGTGTGGTTATCACCAGCTATTGGAGGAGTTCAGGGAGAAGTACCCGCACCTGGACTTCCCCAATGTGCCGCGCCGCGGCCAGTTTGACCTCAACAACGTGCTCCAAGCGCCCTACTTCTTCGACTAGACCGCTTCTCACTGCCTCTCACCGCTTGTCACTTCCTGTCACAATATTCACCATCTGCTGTTACCCGCACTGCCTACCTCCTCCTCTGGGCTTGGGAGGCCAGTGCTCATGCTGCATCAGACGGTTGGGTGCTTATCGGGCGTGTAAACAAATGAAGAGTGTTCCGTAAGTGATGTGCACCCGCTCGGGTTCGTCTCTTCTCTGTGATTCCCGGTTGGGAGCGACCGTGCGTTGTCAGTCACTTGGCTTGCAAGGCATGGTGTGGCGGCGGTGCAAGCAGCAATGCTCAGAGCAGCAATGCAGAAGCTGGTAGTGTGGTGCCATGGTTGGGGGCAGAGCGATGGCAGTTAAGGCAGTGCTGTGCAGGGTTAGCAGTGTGATGCGTTCAGCAGCAGTGGGTGCAGTGATTTGTCACCGCACATGGTGATAATACCAACATGGTGATGCCAATTCTAACATGGCAGAGGCATATGGAGCATTGCGGCAGGAGGAGCAGTGTTGGCATGGCAGGACGAGCAACATTTAGTCTTTGCTCATGATGAGTTGAGGCAGCAACTGCTGAAGTAGCAGCAATTGCTGGTGGCAAGGCAGACAGTTACTGCAGAGAAAAATCCTCACAAGAACCAGCTGCTCTTGTGCTGCGGCTGGCAAGATTAAACGTTTTCTGGTGGAACTAAAAATTGCCTGTGAATGCCGTCCGCTTTTTGTTTAGTACACTTGCACAACTTTGACACCTTGTGTTGGATACCGGTAGGTGCCTGTTAGTAATCAGTTTTAAGTTGCATGGTTGAATACTGCATTGTCGTAACAGCAACATCTCCGACATCCACCAACCAGCCAAGCAGCCAAAATTCCATACAGAAACAAGGTTAGTAGGAAGGGATACATACCGTAAGTGGAGATGTTGCAAAGCTGTCTTCTATCCTATGGTATTTTGGATGCATTTAGAATCCAGCTCAGTTATATTTAATGCCTAACCTGTCAAATTATGCACTTATAGTGCTGTAGTCTATACTGGGGCACACTGTAGAGAGGACAACCCTTTTAGGGTTTACTACTTGTATCCCCATCCTCCATACTTCATTCATCCCTGTCTTCCTATTCTAACATGGTATTAGAGCATGATCGTTCCTTGGGCCCACCGAACGTTCCGCCCTGCCCTGACAGTAATTTTTTTTTCGGCCCTGCCCTTAGGCCCGCGCGCAGCCCTGCGCTGCAGCCCTTCCGCCCTGCTCTGCAGCCCGCGCTCGCCCCTGCAGCCCGCGCTCGCCCCTGCTGCCCGCGCTCGCCCCTGCAGCCTGCTCTAGCCCCTGCAACCGCTCTAGCCCCTGCAGCCCACGCTCGCCCCTGCAGCCCGCGCTCGCCCCTACAGCCCGCGCTCGCCCCTGCAGCCGCGCTCGCCCCTATAGCCCGCACTCGCCCCTGCAGCCCGCGCTCGCCCCTGCAGCCGCGCTCGCCCCTGCAGCCCACGCTCGCCCCTGCAGCCGCTGCCTGCGCCACGCGCCCTGCCCTGCCAGCACGCCACGTGCCCTGCCCTGCCTGCGCCATGCGCCAGCGCCCTGCCTTGCGCGGCCTAGCGCCCTGCCCTGCCCGCGCCCGCGCCCTGCACTGTCCGCGCCAGCACTGCCCTGCATGCTGCCCAGCCCTGCCTTGCCCTGCCTGGCTGCCGCCAGAGCTGCCCTGCACGCTGCCCTGCGCTGACCTGCCCTGCGTGCTCGCGCTGCCTGCGTGCTCCTGCCCTGCCCCGAGCGTACTGCCAACTGCCGCTACCGCCTGCGCACGCTCCTACAGTTGCTACCGCTGCTGCTCCTACCACTGCTGCCACTGCACCTACCGTTCCAGCTACCGCCACTGCAGTCGCTACTTTACACCTTGCGCCACTGCTGCTGACTGACACTGCCTACCATGGCCACTATCACGGTCATACGTCAGCGGCAGCCGAGTGTGCAGGAGTCTCTCTCGCCGCAGCAGCTTGGCGAGTGGGCTATTTGGTGGGGCAGCCCCGGTGGCGGAGCTAGCCGTGCTCGTCGGCGGAAGCCGCTTTCGCCACAGTAGCGTCGTGAGTGGGCTGTCCGGTAGGGTGCTACTACTGGAGGTACCTGTGAGTCTACTCCTGCTGGTAGTGTCGCTAGTAGACGAGGAGGTTCTGGGGGTGGACAGCAGCAGCAGCAGCGTCTGCTGGAGACTCTCTCCCCGTAGCAGCTTCGTGAGTGGGCTGTCCGGTGGGGCAGCCCCGGTGGCGGAGGGTTTCGGGGTACTCGTACTGGAGGTTTAGAGGCACCTTGTGGCGTAGAGGCTACTAGTCTCAGTGCGTGTGACTCAGCTAGCGCAGGGGCAGAGCCTGAGGAGGCCTTGCACACTTTTACCCTAGGCTCAGGCGCGTCTCGCTGCTTCTTCTGCGACAGCACCACAGTCACACCGCTCACATCCCCTGTCCCTGTCACACTGGCCGACCCCTCCGGGGGCCCGGTAGTCACGCATGGCACTACTGTTGTCCCCTGTCCGGCGACCCCTTCCGGCCTCCTTACAGGTCTCCACTTCCCCTCGTTCGCTAAGAACTTGGTGGCTGCCTCTGTCCTCCAGGACCAGTGGGTCATTCTCACCCAGCCTGGAGGTGAGCTCGTGGCGATCTGTACGGACCCGCGCACTGGTGAGCACCTCACCACATTCACTCGGAGGCCTTGGTCTGGCCTGTACACACTCACCATAGGTCAGGTAGTTGCGTCGGTTGATGTCGCTGCGTCTTGTTCGTGTCGTCTCCTCACGCACCAGACTCTCCTCTGGCACCACCGTCTTGGCCACCCCTCCTTGCCACACCTGCGTGGCATGCACTCCCGTCTCCTTGTGTCAGGTCTCCCTAGGTCTCTGCCCCCACTTCCGAGGTCTCTTGCACCGCCCTGCCTTCCCTGCGTCGAGGGGCGGCAGCGCACCGCTCCTCCCTCCTCCTCGTTTCCTCCTACCACTGCTCCTCTGCAGACCCTGCACGTGGACGTGTGGGGCCCCGCCCGCGTCACTGGACAGGGTGGCGAGCGCTACTTTTTGCTGGTTGTCGACGACTACACATGCTACACCACGGTCTTCCCTTTGCAAAGCAAGGTGGATGTCCGCGGTGTCTTGATCCGCTGGATCTGTGTTGTCCGTCTCCAGCTTCGCGCTCGGTTCCGTGAGGACCTACCAGTCCTGCGGCTGCACTCTGACCGAGGTGGTGAGTTTTCCTCCCGCCTCCTCGAGGACTTCTGTGGTGCTGAGGGCATCGTCCAGTCGTACACGCTTCCGGCCTCTACACAGCAGAATGGGATTGCCAAGCGCCGCATTGGTCTAGTCATGGAGGTTTCTCGAACCTCCATGATCCATGCGGCTGCTCCCCATGTTCTGTTGCCGTTTGCGGTCCGATACGCCGCTGAGCAGCTCAACCTCTGGCCCCATGTCTCCAAACCGGAGACCTCCCCCACTTTGCGGTGGACGGGAGAGGTTGGTGATGCGTCGGCGTTTCGGGTCTGGGGTTCCCTCTCTCTTGTCCGCGACTTGCCTGCGGGCAAGCTCTCTTTACGCACTCTTCGGTGCGTGTTCCTTGGCTTTCCCACCGACGCACCGCCCTAAAAGTTTTACCACCCGGGCTCTCGTCATGTGCTGTCCTCCCGCGACGTCACCTTTGACGAGTCCGTCTGCTTCTACCGTCTTCACCCCCACCGCAGTTCCCTGGTACCCCTCCCGCCTCTCTCCCTGGTGGACGAACCCCCCCCCCCCCCCCAGTAGCCCCCCTCCCTCCTCATGGTCCCGCTCCCTCAGGTGTGTCTCAGGTAGAGCCACCCCCCTTGGTTGAGCCTTTGGAGGTCTCCTCTGACACCTCTGGCCCAGCTGAGGGGGGTGACCAGACTGCTACCGACACCATGGCCCCTTGGCGCTCCTCGCGCTTGGCGGTCCCTCCTGGCTTTCCGTCTCGACCGTCTTCACCGCCTCTGCGGCCCGTCACTATGGAATTTGGTGCTGCTGGAGGTGGTGACACTGGGGGTGCGGACTCTTGGGATGCTGGCTCTGGGGGTGCTGCGAGTCCTACGGGTGCAGGGGGTGCTGGAGGTGGTGTTGCTGGAGGTTCTGCGGGTGGAGGTGCTGGTGGTGCTGGTGCTGGTGGTGCTGGTGCACGTCGGCAGGAGACTCTCTCGCCGGAACGGCTTCGCGAGTGGGCTGTCCGTTGGGGCTGTCCGTTGGGGCAGTCCTGGTGGTGGCGCTGGACGTGCTAGAGCTACAGGTTTTGGAGGTACTGGCCCTGGAGGTGCTAGTGCTGGTGTTCCTGGAGTTGGCCGTGCTGGAGGTACTGGTGCTGGAGGCAAAGATACTACTGGAGGTATTGGAGGTGCTGCTGCTGTGGGCGTTGCTGCGGGTAGTCCTGGCTCACGTCGCTAGGAGTCTCTCTCGCCGGAGCGGCTTCGCGAGTGGGCTGTCCGTTGGGGCAGTCCTGGTGGTGGCGCTGGACGTCCTGGAGCTGCAGGTTCTGGAGGTGCTGGCCCTGGAGGTGCTAGTGCTGGTGTTCCTGGAGTTGGCCGTGCTGGAGGTACTGGTACTGGAGGCACAGGTGCTACTAGAGGTACTAGAGGTGCTGGCCCTGTAGGGGCTAGTGCTGTTGTTCCTGGAGTTGGAGGTACTGGCGGTGCTGACACTGGGGGTGCTACTGGAGGTACTGGAGTTGGTGGTGCTCGTCGGCAGGAGTCGCCCTCGCCGCAGCAGCTTCGCGAGTGGGCTGTTCGTTGGGGTAGTCCCGGTGGTGGAGCTGGTGGTGCTGGTTTGGGGGGTGCTGTTCCTACTGGGGCTCGCGGTTCTGGGGGTGTGACTACTCAGCCGCAGCTGTCTGTGCTTCGTCACCTTCTCAGTCTCCCACCTGCTGCTACTGAGTTCTCGGTTGCTGGTACTACTCCTCCGTTACTATTCCCACCGACTGCCCAGTCTCAACCACAGCTAGTGCCTTTCTCCCCACTGCCTGCTGCTCCTGCTCCTCACACTGC